GGGTATATCGTATCAGAACTAAGGGCATAAAGCTTGAAAAGAAAGAAATTTAGTACTGACCTTTATACCTTGAGAATGGTTATAAAACCAATAATTGTAGGTATTTTCTTAAGCCTGGAGCTACTGGTAAAGAGGAGCAACTCTAGCCTCGCGAGAGATAGCAAAGTGGAAAATAAAACAAAATGTTATTAAAGGTTAATTTGCACAAATGCACTCAAAATATAGATAATGTTCAATTTGATCCATATTTAATTTTCTGTGTCAAAATTGATACAACTAAAGAGTATGTGGACATTAAAACCAATATTATGTAAATAGTTAAAGGATCTAAAGTTACTTTTTAGGTTAACTTTTATCGAAATAATAAAGAGACCCATAATTAATTGATTTAGTGAGATGAAATATTAGATTTATTTAAAAAAAAATAAAGATGAGAAGATGTATTTTAAAAAAATTATGGTTTCATTTTTTTTATCAGTTATATGAAAAATATTTGGTTGTTATTCAATATTGATAATCTTTTCAGTTTCAAGGGAGAAAGAAGAAGAAGAAGAGTTTCAAGGAGAGAGGAGAAGATGTAGATTTTGTTTTAATTTTTAAGTTACAGTAATTAGGTTTAATTTATTATTTTTGTTTTTTAATTTAATTAATTTTTTATATTTGAATTTTAAAGAAACTTTTGAAAAATTATAATTAGTGCTACGTGTTGAGTTTTAAATGAATAATGGTTTTTTTAAAGAGAAAAAAGCGTCAGTGACCGAAAATATCTTATAATATACGATTTTAATCAACTTTTTTTTGATTTGCCAAAATGACCAACAAAATCGCAACGCGATATCAAAATCGCAACGCGATTTAGAAAAACGCAACGTTGAAAAGAAAATCGCAACGCGATCTTCCAAGAATCGCAATGCGATTCAGAAAATCGCAACGCGATCTTCCAAGAATCGCAATGCGATTCAGAAAATCGCAACGCGATTCCAAGAATCGCAATGCGATTAAGAGAATCGCAACGCGATTCAGAAAATCGCAACGCGATTCCAAGAATCGCAATGCGATTCAGAAAATCGCAACGCGTTTCCAAGAATCGCAACGCGATTCCAAGATTCGCAACTCGATTCAGAAAATCGCAACGCGTTTCCAAGAATCGCAATGCGATTCAGAAAATCGCAACGCGATTCCAACAATTGTTCCCAAGCCAAAAATATAGTATTCTATAACAATGTTCCAACAATTGCATTTGTTTCTTTCTTAAGAATTTTCTCTAAAAAGATAGTATCCGCGCGGACGTGTCGAAGACACGTATTACCATTACCATTACCATTACCATTACCACGACCACGACCACGACCACGACCACGACCACGACCACGACCACGACCACGACCCGAGACGAGACGGCGGCGGCGGCGCGCGAGAGTCCCCCTTGTTCTCTTTCACTCAACAAGGAAATGGGAAATCCAAGCCTTAAATACACTTCCCAATAGTGTTTCCAATACTATGTGGGATTGAACATTACTCAACACTTCAAAGAAAATATAGCAATTTTTGTAGCATTTTCCCACTTAATCAATATATAAAAATATTAAAACATTTTATCAAGAGAATTAAAAGAGTTGTAGATATCTACATTTCAATTCAAACTTATACATATAGTTTTAATATGATAAAATGTTTTAATATTTTTAGATATGGATTAAGTGGGAAAATGCTACAAAAATTGCTATATTTTCTTTGAAGTGTTGAGTAATGCTCAATCCCACATAGTATTGGAAACACTATTGGGAAGTGTATTTAAGGCTTGGATTTCCCATTTCCTTGTTGAGTGAAAGAGAACAAGGGGGACTCTCGCGCGCCGCCGCCGTGGTCGTGGTCGTGGTCGTGGTCGTGGTCGTGGTCGTGGTCGTGGTCGTGGTCGTGGTCGTGGTAATACGTGTCTTCGACACGTCCGCGCGGATACTATCTTTTTAGAGAAAATTCTTGGAAGATCGCGTTGCGATTTTCTGAATCGCATTGCGATTCTTGAAAGATCGCGTTGCGATATTCTTTTCAACGTTGCGTTTTTTTAAATCGCGTTGCGATTTTGATATCGCGTTGCGATTTTGTTGGTCATTTTGGCAAATCAAAAAAAAGTTGATTAAAATCGTATATTATAAGATATTTTCGGTCACTGACGCTTTTTTCTCTTTTTTAAATTGTTGTTAACAATCAAACCCTTAAAATAAAAATAAAAAATACATTAGATATTACTTTGACCAAAAAAAATATTAGACACCTAAAATAAATTAATCAGAGGTATAGTTTGAACACTCATTTTTCAATTAATTTTAATTTTTAAATTAAGAAAAGTCCACTTCATATTATTTTTTATAAACTTTTTAAAATAAATTAATTTCCTTTTACTAATAAATAAAATATGGTTTACATAGATTTTTAGGTATTCTATTATTACTAATTAAAAATATTTTTATTTTAGATAAACTTATTTCTCAAAAAAATTGAGTGAGTGTGTTCCAATTTTTTAAGATGAATATATAAGAAAACATAATAAACAAATAACTTAAAATCATATAATTTTTTCATACATATGTATATATATATATATATATATATATATAGTTATGATCCACTGACACAAGGTAAAAATTTTTAGTTTTATACATTTTTAGGGTTGTTGTATGAGTGAAAATAGGTGAAAGAGATTAATTTATTTTCACTCATATCCTAAATTTGTGTAACATGATCCAATAACATAATCCTATCTTATATATATATACTAAATTTCCTTAAACCCTAGGCTTTTTTTCTCTCCCATTTAACCGCCGTTTCTTTGTTTTTTTGCAGGCACCTGTATACATTGTTTTCCTTCTACTTTTCTATATGCATATTTATTTTTCTGTGTTTTTTAATTTTAAATAATTCTATCTTTATGACACGTTTTTCTCTGTCTTTATGACATATTTTCAGTCGTTTAATCATTTTTTGATGGTTGGATTGATGCTGCATCGACTGATTAAGATAACGGTTATTTATTATCATGTTGATATTCTCTTTTTTGGGCACTCAGATTGGGCTTTAATACACAATATGCTCTCGTAAATAGTTTTTTCACGATGCTCGATTCTAATTTTCGGTTGTTGATGATCTTTGAATTGTTTAATCTCCTGTTATGGTTCGTTTATCGATATAATTAGATTTGTTTGTATCTATCTTTTAACATTTTCCTCGTATGATCCTTGAATAATCTTGAATAGCTAATTTATTGTATCAATGGTTATATAGAAATATTCTAATTATATATTTGGTTTACTAACCTTATTATAATTTTGAATATTTTTAAATTTTAATAAAACTAACAACTCTATTTATATATATATATAATTTCTTCTATTGTTGCGGTATATATTCACTACTTTTGTAGCACTATTTATTTTTATGTTTTGGTCTATTTTCTTCTCTTGTAATGATTAGGTGATCTTATGAGGGACATTAAAAAAAAATTGTAGATCTATCGATTGGGGAGGATTGAGATGATACACCAATTTTAAAAGAAAATAGCTCATATCAATCTAAATACTTCAAAACCTGTTTCGCATACCCTTTCCTTACAACGAATGTCATAAATTTTTAATTGATACGAGCGACTCTAGTAAATGACCGACTTTAGTAATATATATATATATATATGAACACATTAAGTAGTTTTAGTGTTGTTTTCTTTACGAGTTGAGTTCGAATATTTGTATAGGTATAATGTGTATGAATTATTAATTGATTAAAAAAATTATCTACAGATATTACTTGTAGGATGAATAATTCGACTTAAACATGACACATAAAATGAAGAATGGGAGCCAATCATATATTGTGAAAAAGAACACACACAAAAAAAGAGTGGATATGTTGTAGAAGGGAGAGGATCGTTGAGAATATTTCAAGGGTTGCATCACAAAACAAGATGCTGCAAATACTTGCTTTGTGCCTCACTTCACTTATCTCATCATCACGCTTTGGAAATTATTTTTCGCTGCCCAGTCACCCTCACCCTTTTTTTTATTCCTTTGGTCCTAAACTCTCCACCTCTCTCAAAAATTAGAATATTATCAATTTTAAAATTTATATTTAATACACTAATAATATATAATTTTATCATATATATTATATTACGTCACATTTGTAAAATGATGGAAAAATATTTTATATTTGATCCAATGGGTGGTCACAATAACAAAATGAATATTATTGTTTTTCATATCATCAAGCTCAAACAATTTTATCTTCATATGTGTGCGCGAGTTTATCTAGATTTAAATATCAACACAAACATAGAGAGATTCATGATTTTTGACTAGGGGACGAACTTACACTATTTTAAAAGATGATAAACTATAAAATTTTAGAGAATAGAAATATATTATCTTTAAAAAAATATTTAAAACATAAGAAAATTTAAAAGATTTAATAGAGAGATTACTTTGATCGCTCTTTATCCATAGCCTAACACATATTATCTTGTAATACTAATAATATCAAAAAGATAAAAAAAAAAATTATATTTAAAAAAAATGTTGGAATGGTGAAGGATTTGTTCAAAGAATCTCAACACTTTAACAATGAACACTCATACTTCTACATACTTGGTGCTTAAACTTAAGATCTCAAGATATAACAACAAATCTTTTGATATCATTTGATTTGTGATATATATTATTTTGAATATGAAACAAAAGTTTTAACTTAGAATAAAAATAGAGAAAGTTGAAAGTGTAAGTTACAAGAAAACATTAACACCTCCAAATATAGAGGGAATAATGTCCACCAAATTGACCCCAACTTGTTAACTACCCATTCATTGAGATACTCCACTAGGAGAGGTACCCAAATCAACTTGTTAATACCAACTTTAACCAACGCCCCTCACATTCCTCGTGTTCTTCCTCTCTACCTTCAAATCTCGTTATATATCTCTTTTTTTTTCTTTTTACTCGGAGATCCAATCCATGGCTGCCTGTGGGAGCATTCAACACATCTTTGAAAACCTATTACCAGAAAACCCTACTTTGCTCGAATCCCTCTCTTCATGGAACCAAATTAAACCTGTAGTGCAGCCTGCTTTCACTGAAATCTTTGGCGAGCTTCATTTCAACGAAAATGTATGTGTTTCCCAGTCTTGTTCTTGCTTTAAAGTTTTGGATTCTCGGAACACTAGGAATGGTACTAATTCCCATGAAAATTATGAAAAGAGTGAAGGCTTTTCATGGAGCTCGGAGAGTCTTCAGTTATGCACTGAAGGGCTTGGTTTTGAGAGCTCCGGTGATGTTGAAGACATGAAACAAGATTGGGAAAACAAAACGAAGACGACGGCGAAACATTCAACGATGGAGAATATGTATGGTGGATTGAAGAGGTCAAGGGGAAGTGGAGGAGGAGGATTTCCACCGCCGATTTCATGTATAGGGAAAAGTGGGAAGCCATGCGTTTGCTTCAAGTCTTACAGGGATGATGGCAGATTTGTGCTGAAACAGGTGAGGGTTCCCACACAAGAATTCTTGCATGCGTGTAGGGAAGATGGGCGTTTGAAGCTGCAATTTGTGCAGCCAGATGATGATGACGAAGTTTTGGAAGATGAACAACTCGAGGAAGAAGATGAACAAGGAACAGCACAAAAGCACGACTCATAATATAACAAAACACAAAATCAAGCTTATTGTGATGCATAGAGAAACTAAAGGAGAAACAAAATAAACTTTTGTATTCCTGTCGTATTGCAATTTGTTAATTAACTAACTTTTCTTATCTTTCTTTTACTCCATTATTTTCATTAAATTGTGAGCATAATTTTCTTTTCATAATTTTATTAAACATAAAATAATGCCGTTACTTGGACTACTGAATCTTTAAAAAAAATATTTTATATAATAATAAATATAACGAATATTTTATTTTATAACTATTATTATACTAAATTAATAAAATAACATCAAATTTTTTTGAATGAAATGCCAGCCTTTTATTGAAGTAAAAGGGTGCCAACAGAACTCCACAGAAACCAATATCACTAGGAAAAGAAAACATGAAACTAAAACCCAACAGAAACCAAAAGAAAAAGAACAAAACAATGGCTGGCCTTTCCTACCCTGCAATCAAAGGATGGTGAACAATGATACTAACAAAGCAAGGAAGATGAAAAAGCTTAGGATCTTGAACCTTTAGAACCCAAATCAAAACCCGAATCAAACCTCTACGAGGGTCAACTCAATCCACCATCTGTCCTTCAACGTTTGAACTTCCACACACCTTGGAGCTTCTTCGATCCAGAAGCGATCGGTCGTACCAAGTTCGGCAGCAGTTGCAAGAAGGTGAGCAGCTAAGTTTTCCGACCTAGGAGTGAACTGAAAGGTGCATGCATGAAATGTTTTCGCTTGCCGCTGTGCTTCCCATGTTAAGGCATTAATTTCCGAAAAGTCGGGTTCTGTCGAAGCAAGCTTCTTAATCACCGTACGAGAGTCCCCCCCAACAATCACATCGTGAAAATCCTGGTCAATGACAAATTGAATCGCATGCACTGCCGCCATAACCTCCGCCATGAAAGCCAAGGTAATATTTCGACTCACTCTTCGACATGCACCCAAAATAAAGTTCTCACTATATCTCATAATGACCCCGGACCATGCTTCGATTTGGGACTACAGGAATCGGGCGTCAAAATTCACTTTTACAGCCGGTGAGGCAGAGAGTTCCCAAAGAACAAAAAAGGGCGACTGAGGACCTGTGAGACTTGAGCTAGTACTAGCAAAATCAAGACCATGTGCCCGAACAAAGGTAAGCATCTTTTCCTTCCTCATCAACGTACCCTTATGGTAATGCTTATTGCGAGCATACCATAAAGCTCAGATGACTACCATAATTTCAGAGTGCTTAGTTGTAAGGTTGTTTCGAAATAACCACTCTAGCCAATAAAAGAAATCCATTGATAAAACCTGGATCGGCCACTGGAACCACAATTCAGACCAAACTAGAGTAGCAAGCTGGTAATCTCGAGCTACGTGTAACCCCGATTCAACCACTCCATCACATCTCCAACACATGGGATTAGTAAGCGGGCGCTTAGTAAATAGGTTTGCATCGTTGGGGGTATAGTTTTGAATGAATTTTCGTATCTATATCTTGATTTTCCTTTGACATGTACAAGCTCGAACATAGTTATAAACGGCTTTGACAGATTGAGAAATACTAATCTCGCCTAGTAGCAAACGATAACCGCTAAGCACACTGAATAATCCCAGATTTTTCTCCACACTAAACTCGACAATCCCCTTAAAGAAATCTGGATATCGGAATTCGGAATTCTTAGAATTTGACTCGCTTCCTCCTCCACGAACAAACTAGTGACAAGTTCAACTTTCTATGATCTCGTGCTATCATCAATTAAGCCAGCTACTTGTGCAACCGGATCATCTCGAGTGGATTCTATATACTGAGGAAACTCATTTGGGAGCCAAGAATCATTCCAGACTGAAATGAAAGTACTCGATCCCACCTTCCATCTCAATCCATTTTCAAGTAGGCCCCTCACACTCCACACACTACGCCATATATAGGAAGGAGCCGATCCGAGCCTTGAATTCAAAAAACCAATCGTGGGGAAATACACCGCACGAAGCAACCTGCCAACTAGAGACGATGGATTTAAAAACAATCACCATCATTGATTTTCCAGAAGGGCTATATTGAATTTCGTCACATCTCTAAAGCCAAGACCGCCACTATCTTTGGGTTGACATAGAGAGCTCCAAGAACACCAGTGAATGCCTCGTTCTTGTTGAAACTCTTGCCGCCAAAAGCGAGCCATGATACTTTCAAGCTCAACACATAAACTCTTTGGCAGCAAAAAACAACTCATGGCAAACAACGAAATATCTTGGAGGACGAACTTTATAAAGACTTCCTTACCTCCTTGAGAGAGAACACGTACACACCAACCATTGATTCGGCTACGAAACTTATCCTTTAAATGTGCAAAAGCACCTTTTTTATTCCGACCAACATTTGTTGGAAGACTCAAATACTTTTCCGGATTCGAAGAATTTGAAACATCCAAAATCCTTCGGATATCTTTTATATTGTCATCAATAACGTTTGAGCTTACAAAATTACCCGATTTGTCAAAATTGACCGCTTGGCCAAATCCATATCCATAGACTCTTAGAATTTCTTTAATTTGTGAAGACACCCGACCCATTACCTCCCTAAAGATTAGACTATTATCTGGAAGATGAGAGATTACTGAATTATAACGATTTATTTTCACTCCTTGCAAATCACCCAGCTGAATTAAAGAACATCAATTTTTCTAATAAATTAGTGAATTTATTAAAGTTCTTAGTGTGGAAGCTAAGATAATTTATATAGATTTCATTTTTCTAATTCTTGCAAAAACTTTTATCAAAACAGGCTTTGAGCTTGTAATAAAATGTTAAAGGTTTCTCAAGAGAATATTTTAAATTAGAATATATTAGATAAATTATATGTTAAATATTTGATGTTTTATTTTTTTCGGTTTAGTCCTAAAAGTTATTTAATTCAAAATTGATCGTTATTTAAATATAAAATGTGTAATGTTATATATAATAAAAATAATTATATTATATTTGATATTAAATGAAAATTAAATTAAATAAATAGAAATTATTTTATAAATAAATAAAAATTTAATGTAAATTATATGTTTAGTACATAAACTATTATTTTTGTTTCGTTTTGATACTTAAACTTTATTTTTTTTCAAAATCATACTTAACGTTTAGTTTGTGTTTCATTTTGGTACATTTTCGTTAAAAACTTAACATTGATAATGTCGTGTCACCATAAGACAATGTCACATCATCATTGAAAAAATTAAAAAAATATCATGTCAACAATTTTGTTAAACTTGTAACGGAGGGGTACTGTGAACATAAACCCTATACTCATAGGAAACCCTAAACCTTAAATAACAAGTTGTAAACCTTAATAATCAAAAAATAAACCTTTAATCTTGAAACCTAAACCTTAAACCCTAAATCATTGGTATTAAATCCTTAAGTTTCACCCTAAACCCTTAACTGTTAACCCTAACCCCTTAACCTTAAACAATTAACCCTATATCCTAAACCATTAACCTCTTGAACCATAAACTTGGAACCCTAAATCATGAACCATAAATCCTAAATCAAAAGCATGAGCTTCGAGCTCTAAACCTTTAGCCCTGAACTAACCAACTAATCCGTATATATATATGAGTTAAGATTCACTTATACAATGTAAAATATTTTTAATTTTACACATATATAGAATTGTTGGATGAGTGAAAATAGACGACTGGGATTAATAATAGCAAATGAAAAAATATTCACTAAAAAAATAAATAAAAAAAATTAATCTAAGCCGTCTATTTTTATTCGTCTAATTATCCTAATTTTAGATAAAACAAAAACAATTTTAAATCTTATCCCTATATTTCAGTAAGCAATTTGCAAGGCCACAATTTAACCAAAATCTAAGAAATGAATCAAGCAAGGCCCCAAACCATGTGGCATTTGAAATCCGTTGAGATCTTAATCAAGTGACAGCAAGACCCTTTCGGTTTTTTCTGGGACCTCCTTAGTCATCTTCAGCTCCCCTAAAATTTGTCATTCTTTTTATGTTAAATTCCATGTACAAATTATAAATTTAATACATGTTTTCTTAATTTGATAAACTTAAACTTTTATAATTTTTTAGATTTTAATTTTTTTCATCTCAGCCTAATAATATAAATACAATATAATTAAATTATAAGAATTTAAGATAATTAAATTGAAAAAAAAAAACATAAACTACAATTTATGTATAATACAAGAAGTAATAATACAATTGGACTTCACAAATTTCTAAAACTAAGAAAAGAATTTGACTTGCAAGCATAATTTTGTAACAGAAGAATTTAGCATTCTTTCCAACGCTTGTTGTGACTTTCTTATCTCACAAAATTAAACATTCAGCCACATACGGATTTATTGTTTTGTGTTTAAATTTTTTTTTTTAAAAAAGGGTCCAATTTTCCATATTGTAATCTATAACCAAACATTTCTTTCTTGAAAAAGCAATTGAGGTATAAATTAAGATTTAAATCATGGTTAGGGTTACATTTTTTACTGTGTTATATTTATTACGATTACAAATATAATGAATAATATTACGTTCAATACATGTATTATAATCTTGAATTTTTTAAATTCACACAACTTAGTGTAAACCACAATAGTTACGGAACAATAACAAAATTAAGAGTTTTTCTAAAGAAAATTATCATAACGAAATAATAACATGATTAACAACTAACTTTTTTCGTAATTAATTATTATATGTTAAATTACATCCGTAATCCACTATTATATGATTAACAATAATCGTTTCGAACAATACAACTATTTCTATATAATAAATATCAAAATATGAAACAAGGGCTCTCCTACACCACACAAATGGCAACGAAGCCAGCCATTCATTGTAATCATTTTATTATTTAATACCCAAAGTTAGGTTATTATCAATTCATACGCTTCAAATACATGGATATGCTTGAATGCAACATTCAGTGTCTTGTTATGGATTTATTGAGTAGTTTTTAAATTCAATGGTAAAAAAAAATATTATTTTTAAGATTTTAAATTCAATTAATTATACAAAATATCTGTATATCAATAAATTAAAAAATTAAATAAATTCTATCATATAAGATTATTAAAAAAAACTCTATTTAACTTTATGTAAAAATAATAAATTACATATTTAGTATTTAAACTATTAATTCTATTTTATTTTAATACATAAACTTTCATTTATTTTAAAATTATACTTAATATTTATTTTTTTGTTTCGTTTTAGTACATCGTAATTAAAAATTTATAAGATAACACTTTTTATAGGTAAATTTCATCATTAATCACTCAAATATATTTTCACGTTTATTTTGGTCATTGAAATTTATTTTTTAAAATTAATCACTTAACTTTCAAATTATTCACAATTTAATCTCTCTAACTTTCAAATTTATTTTTTATTTTATTTATATATTAATTAAATTATAATAAAAATATAATATCACAAAAATTATTAATAAAATAAAATAATTGAAGTATAAACAAATTAAAAGTTTAGTAATTAAATTAAAAGATTTTAAATTTTAATTTTCAAAATAAGAGTACAAAATAGTTAATCGATTAATGATAAAATTTACTCATAAAAATATTACGTGATACTTTTAATGATGGATGTTAAAATAAAATAAAATTAAATATTATATATAATTTAAAATAAAATAAAATTTTAAATATTAAAACGAAATAAAAATAATAATTTAAATACTACTAGTCTAATTATCCAAGAAAATACCACAAATCAAAAGCAGAGAGATAGCTGCATGCACTAAATTTATAGTAATTATCAAGTAGTGAAAATCTCCAACTGGGAATTATTTTCTTGATCAATCACATCAAGAAAAATTGGATCAACGGTAACATGACAATCCACGTGTACCTTAAACCTATGATCCCACCATACCACCTTAGCCGTACCGCTGATTTCTACCTTAGCATCAAGCACCATTTCTCTTTTCTCCACGTCAGCGAAGAACTTACTCGCGTGGTGAGCCAACTCCACCCCGTCCAGCTGAGCCGGCAACTCCAGAACCCGACAAGACCGTGGCGGCTGCGACCCGGCTTTCACGTGAGCGGAGCCGAGAAAGGAGCCGTCGTAGAAGATGGACATGGTGGTGGAAGAGTAGTGGATGGGCGTGATGTTGGGGTTGGTGACGTGAACGGTGAGGATTAGGTCGGCGTTGATGTTGGAGAGGTTTATCTTGAAGGAAGTGAGTTTGATGGAGATGAGGTGGAAAGTTGGGTCCCTTGGTTTGGCGCTGATGAAAGCGGAGGCCGCCATGGCCGAGGCTGCTCCGATAAAAGCAGAGGTCCAACTCCAAATGACCTTTTTGGCAATGGGTTTTTGTGGAAATTCCATTGTTAGATTTGGTTCTTTTAGAAACGGTGATGGAGTGAGAGGGTGAGGATGGAGTGAGAGAACTGGGAAAGCGTATGGCCGATGGTTCTGAAAATTACGGAGTTATCCACATGCTTTTGGGTTGTCGTGAGAGTGTACAATCATTAAAATTAATTAATTCGATTGAGTTACTTGATATTAGATTCTAAAATGTCACAAACAACTTTAAAAATATATTATATTTAATAAAAAATATAATATAAAGTTTTATGTTTAAAGTTTAAGTTTGAATTTAACTTAAATTCGAACTTTGGTTGAGTTAAATTTAAAAATATTTTAAGTTTAAAGTTTTTCGATTTCAAATTAAGATTAATTTTAAATTTGATTCTAACGTTATAATTTTAAATTTTTAAACTTTTAAATCTAATCAAAATCACTTTTGAATTAAATTAAATCAAATAATAATTAAATTTGACTCGACTAATTTACGATTCTAACCCCCTCTTATTGTGAAATGATATTTTAATGGTTATTAATAAAGAAAATAATACTATAATTTTAGAATTCCGTGGAAAAAATTGGATCCACATCGCCATACTCTTACGTAGTTACATTATCGTATTTATCCATAAATAAATAAATAAAAGGCGACCGACTTTTTCTTGTCGTATCCCTTTCACGGTGTCCTTTTTACACGTCACTTTCCTTCCGCACAAATTAATGGGAGAAGAGGACTCTCTTTTACCATGGAACGCAGCCGCCACGAATCTCCGATGAACAACCCCACCCGATCCACCTCTACCATGGAATTCACCGTACCTTCCCGTTTCCGCCAAACGAAATCCCCTTCAACTGACAGATTCCTCAGCGTTTACCCCCACGCTCCTCCATCTGACAACCCTTCATCCTCTTCCGCCGTCGGGGAAGAGCTCAACGAAGATGACATATTCTTCTACGACAATAAATCCGATGGTTCCAATTCCTCTGGCGGCCTCCGTAATTCTCTCCAGCCAACATCATCTCTGTCCTCCTCCCTTCTTAACCATAAATCCTTTCCTCTCTCCGAGAACTTTGGAATCCTAGCCGCCATACGGGACTCGTCCCGCCCGAGCTCCCACTTCTTTCAAAAACCCTCAATTTCTTCGTCACCGTCGTCTTCCTTCGCTGCCGCTTCAGCAACTTCATCCGCTTCTCGTTTAATCCCTTCGATTCCGAAACCGCCACAAGAGCGAGTCCCGATCGGCGCGTCCCCCTCTTCTTCTTTAGGAATTTATCATCAATCGGCGCCGGTAAACGTGCCTATTCTGGCGAAAACGATGAGAAAAAACAGGGAGTTCGAGGATGATTTGGAGTTGGACGTGGAGGAAGAAGGGGAAATGTTGCCGCCGCATGAGATTGTAGCCAGGAGCTTAGCGCAGTCCCCTATGTTGGCTTGTTCGGTGCTGGAAGGCGTGGGAAGAACCCTAAAAGGAAGGGATCTTAGGAAAGTAAGGAATGCTATTTGGAGACAAACTGGGTTTCTTGATTAATTGTGGAAGGTATTTTGATTTTGATTTTGATTTCCTTTTTCTATTTCTGTTTTTAGTGTTCTGATTATTGACTGTTGTATGTGGAAAAGTATTAAGTATTCGATTAATGAAATCAAAATCTATTGCTTTATGCATATTGCAACGCCATTTATGAAATCATTAAGTATAGAAAATAACATAAGAATTTAGAAACCGACAGTATTAACCTTCATGCATATTGTAAATTAATCAAAGTAACCTTTGCTAAATTATAGATTACGCCGAGTTGGTTGTTGAGTGGTTGTTCTGCGGAGTTTCCGGTTGAATGCATTGAGGTACTTCTGAAGAATGCTCGAATTTTGGCATTCCTTGTTGGCTTGATAGCTTGGCTTGATTATTCATATGGTGCTAGTGTGCATGGTTCTGCATTTCTCAGTTGGCTTGTTGTTCAAGTGCTTATTCGGAGTTCGATAGTTAAATGATGGTCTTTTTCGAGTAGGTGCTAACTGAAACAGAGTAAGAACCCATGTCTTATTACTGTCTAACAAGGCAAAATAATATTGTTGGTGGATTGAACTCCTTGCTGAAACTGATACATGTGTCTCTGAGAACATGTCTGAATTGAACTCCTTAGGTCATAACCTCGGCAGCGAAACTTGAGAAAGAATCGATGATCTACAGAAGCTTTTCGGAATTTAGAGGATTGGATCATATTTTAGTTATGCTCCGCCAGAACTTTGCTGATGTAGGTACCAGTGTGTCTGAGACCTGTTATAGATGTTAATTGTTAGGCACTAATGGCAGCGAACTCGATCTATGGGAACTTCTGAAATTTAGAGGATGGAATCTCTTATATCTGAAGCTTTTCCGTAGTTCTTAGAATTCTCATTCTTGTAGTTCCCTTATAAAGCAAGGTTCTTTTAGGTAAATTATCCTGAGTCTTGTGAATTCACGATTTTTTTGAAGAAAATTAGTGGTAAATAGCAAACTAGTACCAGAAATAAACCCTGTTGAAGTTAAAATAAGTTGCACAAAGGGGATTAATAGTAATAAACTTAAACATCATTTTCGTTGGTGGGATGGGATGCGATGCGCCTCTGAAAGATTGTTCACTTGAATTTCTGAAGTTGTGTGCTGCCCTACAACTCAACTATAGAACTTTCATGCAGAAGTATTTCATCTGGTAATGTAGATGATGAAGCTGTTGTTGTGAACAATTCCATGATTTATCGAGGCCTGGGTTTTGCTTTAAACTTGTTTTATGAACAGATCAATAATGGCTTGTTGTTATGGTTGTGTTGTCAAAATCTTTTACTGTGGGGAAAAATTATTAATCTGTAATCTAATTCTCTGCTAATGAATTGCTCCTCGCCTCTCTAAGCCTTTCAATAAGCTGCATTGTTTCATATCATTAGCAAAGAAAGATGAGCCAATTTTATAGTTTGGGTTGTTCAATTTGAATCTTATCGACTTGCCTCAACTCTGGATATTTATTGACATGCATTTTTAAATGGTTAAAGGATTTAGAAAATCATTTGTGAAAAAAAATCAATTGCCATTATGAAAAGTGCCGCTATTTGATTTTTTTTAGGATAAAGTATACAAATGACTCATGATTATAGGACATTGTTTTGTTGAATATCGATTATTAAAAATTATAAAATAATCTTTTGACTACAAGGCATTATTTTTTTTTTGAGTCTCTTGATTATCAAAAGTTACAAATTTGTGACCCGATTATTCATATGTTCTAAATTCATCTTTCTTTACTAAAAAAGTGACGACAATCTGAGTTGCATGTTAATCTGTTGATTGAGATATGAGTCATTTGAGAATTTGTGATCAGATTTTATTATATCACAATTGACATGTTAATGTTTAGTTTAGGTTATTGTTAATCTTTTTAACATAAACTAATGAGTTTGGAACATATGAATAGTCGGATAATCATTTTGTAACTTTTAATAATCGGTGGACACATTAAATTAATGCCCTTTAGTAAAGGGATCATTTCGTAATTTTTTATAGTCTAGGAATTTAATAAAAAACACTTTATAATTGGGGACTAGTTGTGTACTTTATCGAAGTGAATACAAGATAATATTTGTTTAGAATTTTTTAAGTGGTTAATTAATTGATCTAACGGTTTTTTTAGTTGAACAATTTGACAAAGTGTATGTTTTCTGTCCAATTAGATATTCATATATGTCTTTAAGGTTAAATTAGATAATTGGAAGTTCGTTTAAATTGGAATCAAATAATATAATAAAATTTATAATAAAATTTGAAAAAAAAACCAATAACTAGATTCAATTTTAAAAAAAAGTCAAGTTTAAGTTATAAAATAACATTCAAATTAATTGAATTTTTTATATGATTCGATTTGATCGATTGCTCATCACTACTTGTAATAAATGATTTGTTTGAACCAATCACGAAGTCAACTTAAGATACCAATTTCAGGTACCTAATTGGACATAAATTAGGTGCCAAATTGAACATTGAGAAGAAGTTCAAGTACCTAATTAGACAAAAATATTAGGTACCAAACTGATTTATAATCAAAGTTTAAGTAACAAAATGTCTTTACCAAAAAAAAGAGGATAAGGAAGCAAGTATGGCTGAAGACAGGCGAGTGTGATAGCTTTTAACGCGGATATAACCAAAAGAAGGAATTTGAAAAGGTAAAACACCCGCAAGTATTATTAAGTAGTTATATTAATTGTTTTTTATATTTGTCCTTTTCAGTAAATCCTACCAGATATGCTTAAGACTTGGTCCTTATTATTAGCAATGCCAAATATTTTTAGTGGCTGTTTAAAAAAAATTAAGTACACGTGTCCTTATTATTACAATTTTGCCCATGATAAACAGAAGTAAAAAGGGGGGAAAAGTGGGGCTGACTGCTTCAACATTAGATTTGATTGGATGGAAAGTAAGATGGGGACAAGTGAATGAAAATAATAGGACAAAGGGACATTACCATCTTATGTTTCATTACATAACCGCGTGGAAGTTTCCAACGATCCTAAATCCACTCCCAAATTTCCAATTTCACTCGGCAAAACCTCTTCCATCATCTATGATGCCCCTATTTAAACCTCCTTCATACCTAATTCCAACAACATCTGCAGCTAAATCACAGTCGATGAAGTTGGCAACCGGTTTCCGATTTTTTCCGACGGAAGAAGAGCTAGTTTTGTTCTACCTACGCAACCAGTTAGATGGCAAAACACAACAGATGCACCTTGTTATCCCAGTTCTCAACATTTACGATGTCGAGCCATGGGACCTTCCTCGTATAGTTTTCTTCACTGCTGCTCATTATGTTCATGAATAATATATATATATGCTAAAAATGAATGGTACAGTAAATTAACCTATGTTTGCAGAGCTTGCAGGGGAGCTTTGTAGAGCAGACACTGAGCAATGGTTTTACTTCACACCAAGACAAGAGAGGGAAGCTCGGGGAGGGAGAGCTAACCGAACTACGGCTTCTGGATATTGGAAGGCGACAGGATCTCCCAGCTATGTCTACTCATCGGATGACCGAGTGATTGGAATGAAGAAAACAATGGTGTTTTATAAGGGAAAAACTCCTGCTGGGAAGAAAACTAAATGGAAGATGAATGAGTATAGAGCCATAGAAGCAGTGGCCAACCCATCTGCTGTTACAACTACTCCAATGGTAAACACGTCGTGTTCTTTTAGACTTAAAGCTCAATACAAACTTCTTTCATTTCTAATCATCATTTGCTTGTTTACCTTTTTCTAAATGCAGTTGAGACACGAATTCAGTTTGTGTCGAGTCTATGTGGTATCGGGAAGCTTTCGAGCATTCGATAGACGGCCCCTCCAGCCTGTGGCACAAGGAACACAACTTCATGACAACAGGACTGCAACAACTTCTGAAAGAGCCTCCATGATGGAGATAACATGCCCCTCGTGTGCTTCACATTCTGGAGGAGACCATTCTGATCCACCCGAAGCCAGTGACGATGATATTTGGGAGATGGTTAATGATCTGGATGAACCTCCCTTGGGATGGGAATGAATGAGCTGGACCTGATTTAAGCAATACCAGTAAGCAACCAGCCCTTTATGTGACTCGATATGATCATGCCACAAACATGAGCAAAATATAACTTTAGAAAGTAACTGTTTTCGTCCTCCGACATGTAGGTTATCGGAGATGTAATAGCAAATAAGAAAAGATCAAAATCATTTTATGTAAAATGGGATTAATTTTTTTTCTTCAAGAAATCGGAGCTGGGAAAAATCCAATTTTTCTGTACAGAGATATATGTTACTGTTTTTTGGGTCTATTCAGTGTGAAGGTGTATTTCCATCATTCTCTACTGAATCCCCATTGAAAAACTAAATAACATGCCAAAAAACCTGGAGCAAAGAAAGCAAAATAACTCAAAACAAAATAAAGAAATGTGACACAAAGTTTGAAGAAAGATTACTGAGCAGGAGGCGGCAGCAGATTCATTAAAATAATAATAACACGCATAAATGGCAAACAAGAAAAAATTTAGTCAGCCCATCTGCTCGGTTGACTCGCTTAACATCTAAGCCAATTTCAGTCGAGTCATAATCATGCATGCCTGTATGCCACCAGTGACTTGGACTGCTTGTAATCAAAGAGTCATGCAGACCTCAGTGATGGCATTTTTGTTTACTCTAACAATTCATTTTTCTCGAAGTGTCCTTGTTTGACACTTGTATCCTATGAATATCCACATATAGGTATGGGATATTGACCTTTCATGATCCTCCAAATACATGGAAAACATTAGAGGAAAAAAAAGAACATACCCCATATCTGACACTCGCACCCAAGTACGGATAATATAGTTGTAAGCTGAACAAAGTTTGAGCCCGAACTCGACAAGAAGTATCTTGCCCAACGAAACATGATTCATACTCCATCTTATAAGTAGAAGCCACCTTCTACAACATAGTTCAAGTAGATTAGTATATTCAAAAGGCTTGGCTTGGTAATTATCGGTTTTTTATTAATATAATAGCAGAAGGAAGCCATTAAATAATATACCATTCCAGCTTAAGTTTCATGGTTGATTTGTTCCACTGGTTATGAACATAAGATTATAAATAAGCTCAAGTTTCAATACCTTGAAAAATCTTTGAAAGTTCACTTGTCAACATAGTGTGATGACAGCTCATCTACAACAATGTTTCAAAAGTTTTGAACAAACCATCTCAAAACATCAATGGTTTTCTTACCGAACAAGCAATAATAGTCGATGCTCTAGTCAATCCACATCGAACTTGATAATGTTCCCTCTCCTTTTCAATGTGCTGGAGATTGGAGAAAACAAAAAGCAAGGAATTTCACTTTATGACTACAAAGAGGTTCATGGTAGTGAATTCAACATGTTTGAAAATGGAACCTGCCAAATATTTCTTCAAACTCTTTGACCTCTGCTTTTTGTGGGACAACTAGCAGTATGAAAATCAGTTTCAGTCATAGAACATGCCTGAAAATTGGTTATACGTCATCATTACGCATCCTCCATTGCCCAAAAACATGTACAAGTGAGCTAAATATCACAATTCGCATAATTAGCAGCTTTGACAATTGCATACATATGTGTATGTGTATCTATATGTATATGCCATCAACTTCTTTTCCCCACTTATACATTTCTGAACAATCAGGAAAGCTTCTAAAAGTTCCAGAAATATTCTCAATATAAAGTCGAAATCAGCTGGAAGTCAACCCTCACTTTTTACAAGCTCGGTTTTGAAGATTCATCACCACTAAATTGATCTGTAAAGAAATACCATATGATCCGACTATATTTCCAGTATTAGCATGTTCCTATAGTCATTATGAGATTAAAATGAGTACATGACAGCCAATGTTTTAGCAATCTATTATTAACACCTTCGAGTTCATTGCTCGTTGTTTCTACTTTTCTCATGGAGAGCAAAGAAGCAATAGCTTTGACTTAGTGCTAAACACTAGAAGCAAAATGATTTTCATTTCAGGAGAAAATGAAAGGTCAACTGTGTTCCTGCAGTTCTATAAGCTCTACTCTGTTTGACAAATTAGTGACAGTGAAACATTTCCTCGACCACGACGACCACATCAGTATTCGTTCTTTTTCTCCATTTTTAAATATCATAGAGATGACACCCCTTACTAATAATCAAACATTTAAACAATAAGCCAAAAAATTACAACAAAAAACAACTATGTTTGCCAACATCCGATATTAATCCCCACTAATTCCACAACAGCCCATCCATTCACATTCTGTTCCCACTGAGTGGAAGAAACAGCTTAAATATCAAACAAAGAACATGTTCCTCCAATTGCTTGATTCATTGGTTTCAAATGAAAAGTCCTAAACTTTCTTTTTGTCTTAAAATCCTCAATTGATTACCAAAAACAAATTCAACAGGGCCATAAAGGAAGGAGTTATTAGCTTACCCTTTCATTGAAAACTACAGCTCAAAGAATCCAGATTTATTCCATCCTAGAAAAACTCAAAATGAAACCTTTTTTTACAGAGTCTACTGGAAACGGCAATTTGATAGGCTGAGTAAAATGCTTACCTTGGACTTGTTCTTGTCCCCTTCTCTTGCAACCTTTGTATAGCAGAATCTATTGGCAATGGATAAATATAGCGAGACAAAAGAGAGATAATCTGCTTAATCAGACAACAATTGTATTTGTTTTACATTGTTTTATTAGCTAAATAGATGGATGCATGTTTGCTTTATGGATTATTTGCCATGTTCGACTTCAGGAATCTTAATTTTTTGACTCATTTTTGTGTATTTATGCTATCACAAAACGGTGGCTCTGTTCGTAACTCCCGTGTTAAACTGTGTAAATTATAGTTAAAAAAAATCATTGCTTAAAAATATTTAAATTTTTTTTTTTTCAAGATCTCCTATATAAAATAGGAAGAATTTAAAGATACCGAGTTCGAACATCATCAATATTAAGAATGTGAACCTTTAATATGTAGAAGGAAAGGGATTCCGATGGTACTGTCAAAGATGAGTTGGCAAGCTTCATTATAGTGTAATTTTTAGAACTCGGACCACCTATTAATCTGTCTCTAGGTAATTCAATTTATTATCCGGCTGGTGCCGGTAATCAAGTTTAATTTAATTTCAGCTTTACCATAAATATTTACCTTTTAACTTTTAGCTAAACTCAAACATATCACCACACATATAGTTTAATCTGCCGGTAAATATTATGCAATTACCATTCACAACATTTACAACCAACATAAGTGCCGAGAAGAATGTCTTCAACTCGTGTTTAATACTATAGTTTTAGATTAATTTCTTCATTATTAATTTGATTATATTTGTTTTATTAAGCTAAAATTCTATAAATATTCTAACATGATAGGTGAACAAATTCTTAGAACTCAAATATTTTTGAACCCCTTAACCCTAAATCCTAAACTCTATGCACGCTTTACAGTATCATACACCGCTTATAACTAGGATGGTAGTATCGAATAAATTCTTACCCTTTAAAACATCTAATACTTTTCTTTATAAAGTTAACACATTCAATTTATATAATTTATTGTAATATTTTACTATTAAATTAAAAATTATTTGTTTTTAAATATAAAATTAAAAATAAATATAATTTATTGATATAAATAGTATATATAAGATTTTAATTAATTATCCAATTTAACAAGAGTATCCTAGTCTACTCTTAAAAGGCATCAAAAATGAAATAACGGAAAGTCTTGGAATCTAAAGAGAGTGACGAAGCCATGATAAGAGTCAAGGGTCCAAGTAAGGTCAATCCCTAAATGCACAAAAATCATGAGATAAAGATTAATTTGGCCTAAAGAAATCATATATAATTTTAAAATATATATTTATTTTATCTCATTAAATTTATTTCTATTAAATTTTAAAATTATCTCATTCGAAATATTTATATCAAATATATTAATCACTTTTTTATGATAATTTTATTATTTATCTCGTTTCATATAACTTGACATATTATAAAATTTATCTCCTAAAATTATATTTATAATTGATATAAAATAAAATTATTGGGATGAATGAAATAAAATTTATCATTTTTAAATTTAAAATAATTAAATATTAGGGATATCGTTTTATTAAGTCTCTTTACTATTAACAATTATGAAATGGTCCATTAACTATAGGTATTATTTTGTTAAGTGCCTTAACTATTAAAATTTATAAAATGGTCACCTGACTATCATTATGTTCCAAATTCATCATTTTTTGTTAAAAATGTGACAACAATCTAAGCTAGACGTTAACATGTTGACTGATATAATAAAATTTGATCACAAAATCTCAAACGATTACAATGTCTCATTCAACAAATTAACATTCAGCTCATGATGGCAACAGATTTTTTAACGATGAAGAACGAGTTTGGAATATATGAATAGTCGGGTGACCATTTTGTAACTTTTAATAGTAGAGGAACTCGATAAAATAATACCCTATAATCGGATGATCAATTTATAACTTATAATAATCCTTAGACATAATAAAATAACATCATATAATTAAGGGATCATTTGTGTATCTTACCCTAAATATTATAATGATATTATTAATTGAAATAATACTCATCCAAAATCATTATATAAAAAGAATAATTGATTTCAATAAATTTGGATATGATATTTTATTTGATATTATACATTTGACTATCGAATTTAAATATTTTGTATAAAGTATTATACACCAGTAAGTGAGTTTTTTACTTGAACAGTATCGCCGACCAAAATGTCAAAAAACCAGCGACGCCGACTGTGATGCAAACCAAATCCAATAGCCTTTCTTTCCTCTGCTTCTCCTCTTTCCTCTCCCTTTTTCTCTCTTGGAATTCCTTGTATTTCACTTTCCCTTCACTGCCATCCCTTTCCTTCTTCTTCCTACCTTCCCCTATAATCCCTCCCAAAATTACCAAACTATCCTTCCCGTTCAACCCTTTCCCTTCCATGTCCTCCATTACCATGCTCACTTCCCTCACCTGCATTTCTCCCCCTTCTTTTCCACAGCACGTGACCACCACCCCACACTCCACCCACTCTCGTGCCGATCCTCGCCGTTTATCTCCGGAAAGTACTGTTCCGAATCGCATGTGCACGTCACCCGTCAACCAGTGCCGCTGCACCGAAACCGCCCTCCTACTAGACATATTCACCGCCCTCTTTCGGGTCGGGTCAATCACTATCAAGCTTAAACTCAAGTTCTCCTCTTTTTGTTTGAGCCACGTGTCGTCTTCACTGCCGTTTGAACACTTGATTGCTATCGAAGCGCAATCTTTCGGATCAAGTAGATCAAACCGGAACGGGGAACATAAATACCAGCTGCTTGACGTATCGACTTCTTCGAGTTTGGAATAAATAATCTCGTTTTGATAGTAAACGTCAACGGCGAAGATCAATTCCGTTGGGAGAGTGGAAGAGTTGACGTCGAGCTTTGAAGGTCGGGAATCGGGAAACGGAAAGGAATCGGAGAAGAAAGAATGGTGACCGGAAGGGAAAGTGGAGATGATTTGATGAACACGTGGATGATTGACGGAAGGCCAGGTGGAGGAACAAATGTTACGCCAGAGATGGTCTTCCGTAGAGAGGGCGTGTAATTGAGAGGAAACGCAGGCGAGGGAGGCGAGGGAAGGGCCGTCGAGTCGGGCGAGGATGTGGAATTGGAAGACGTCGGGATGGACGGCGGAGATTGAGGCGACGCCTCCCTGACGGACGGCCGTGGAATTAACGGTATTCATTTTTCTTTGGTTTTAAGACAGAAGCAATGGGCAAGGGGACAAAGCTCTTTATAGGAGATTGAGGTTGGAAACTGTAATAGATTTATATTATTAAAGAAATATATTATCGATTTTGTTATTAAATTTTTTAATAAAATTAGTAAAATAAATATCAGAAATATTATTTTCATTAATTTTATTATTATTGAACGTTTTTATCAATTTTGTTAAAATATCAAATAAAGTGTTATTGATTTTATTATTTTTTACCGATTTTATTATTATTAGATATTTTGTCTGACATCATATAATTTCGATCATCATATATATAAATATTTGATATTAAATGAATATTTTTTTTAAATAAATATTATTTTATATTTACCAATTTAAAAAAAATACAAGCAAAACCGTATTCGGTGTGGTTGACTAGAACATGTAGCGGATAGGATAAAATGCTTTAGCCGACTGCTCAACGCCTCCATTATTAACTACTACTTCCCAATATTTTATTACATTTAAGTTAATTCTTTCCTTAATATAAGAAATAATTTCTTCAACTCTATTATTTTTAGGGTTTAATAAAATTAAATTTTAATCTTTTTATCAATAAATCATTGATATCAGTGGCGGATATATAGTAAATTTAGATGGATACATGTTTATTTTAAAATTTAAAATTTTATTCGATTAATTATTTATTTTACATATTATATTTATTTTAAAATTTTATTTATCTTCTTTTTGTATAAAAAATTATATTATTAATATACGTGTATTTACTTTTAATTTTTTTTTAATGAATCCTCCACTTATAAATAATGTTTAATATATAATTAAGGAAACACTTAACATAAATTAAAATTTCATATAGAATGAAAATCTAAAACTTTGTTTAAATATGATAAATTAATTTAAAAACTTTTTTTAATAATTTAGGCCCGTTGAATTAAACATAGCATTTTATAATGTTTTAATGTTTTTATGATTAATCAAACGTCGAAGGACGTGTAAGATGAAGCTGGGCCATTCAATGTTTATACGCACGATAAAATTAAACAATTAATGATAAATTTTAGCCCCAAATATTTATGTATTATGCTAATTTGATATAATAATAAATTTAATTTCAAATATTTCTGTATTATGCTAGTTTGATATAATAATAGATTTAATTTCAAATATTTCTGTATTACGTTAAATTAATCATAATTTTAAAATTTTAATTGATTTTAAGAGAAAAATAATTTCCAGTATATTTATATGTTAATTTGGTCTTGATTATAAAATTTTAATAAATTCAACTCTTAATAATTATAAAATTTATAAATTATATGTGAAAATTTAAATAAAATATCAAATTGACATCATTTATAAATATTAAAAATTAAATTTATCATTAGTCAATTAAAATAATTTGATTTTGACAAAAGAATATTAAAATCACAGCTATATTTTTTTCTTCAAAATAATCTCTATCGTGTTAAATAAAAGTTGATTACTCATATATGAAAATAGAACCCATTTTCATAATCAACTGTTTTCTTATTAATAAAAAGAACTGCTTATTTCTTTAAAAAAAACATAAAACGCAAGGATTAATCATTATTAGGGATGATTAATACTATAATTTGGACAAATGAAAAGTAAACATTATGTGTGATTTTGAAACAAATGAAAGTTTAAGTATTAAAATAAAATAAAAATGATAGTTTAGGTACTATATGTGTAGTTTATCCTAGAACTTAAAAATATTTGATATTAGTTTCAAAACGATCCCAACTATCATGATTGAGGTTGATTTTTTCTTCTGCAAGTGGTTGGTGGACCGAGCCGCCATGGTGGAAGAGCTACAATTTGCTCGAGCAAAAGCCGCCATCCATCTGCAGCTTTCCACTAAGGTTCAGACGGCGTTTTTTTATTTACAAAACTTCTTTTTAAGTGAATTAAATTCAGGAAAAATATTAGAGATATTTCAATCTTTCACAATTTCATTTTTTTATTTAATTATCAGTATTTTATTTATATTAATAGATTATTCTATAAATATTTATTATAAAACTATTCTTCCAACTTAACTTATTTTATACACAAACATCAAAATTTAAATTTACGACTGTTTTAATATATTATCCCATCAAACCATGTTACAATTTCATAGTAAAACTAAACGTGCTTTGTGTAAATAAAAAAATATGTGACGTTATTAATTCCGCGGGTAGAGTTATATAAAATTTATTATTTAATGTGGGTTGTGTAAAATTTATTTTGTATATTATCTATATTTTAATATTAAATCTCAAAATCTAAAATCTTAATCATTCTATATTTTAAATTTAAAAATTAGACATTAAATTCTAAATTCTTAATTTCTAAATCTTAAAGACAAAATACCGTTACAACATTTCTTCATGCATGCATTAACCATTCCATCTTTTACCAGCAATTCTTCATGCATGCATTAACCATTCCATCTTTTACCAGCAAAATGGAAGTGTATAAATTACTGACACAATAAGACAAGATAAATCGTGAGCTATTCAACTCGATTAAAGTTTAATGAATATTTACAGATCACAAACACTAAATAGCACAAAACAAATAGCGAGCTATTTGATTCAACCAAAGTTTAATCAACATTTAAATTGAATAAAAACTGAACTCGAATTCTTAAGGAATATAAATGAATTATTTAATACCTAAATTAAAAAGCTCCCGTACAAATTCGGGGAAAAATATTAATTTTCATTTTTTAAAATTAAATAATTAATAATTTTAAACATATATTATTCTTATTAAAAAATACAATATAAAATTTTTATATACTTAAAATTCAGATTAAAACTCGAGTTTGAACTTCAATCGACAAAGTCTAAAAATGTTTTGAAATCAATTTTTTTTTTTCAAGTTAAAGTTAAATTTCAGTTTTTTCATTTCAAGTTCGAATTCAATTTAACGATTTTAAATTCACTTATTTTTTCAAAAAATTGACAAATCTAAATTCACTTCCTCAAATTTTGAGTTTAAATTAAGTTTAATGATTTTAAACTCTTTGAATTATACTCAACAACGATTCATTGCATTGCAGCATAGGGAGAGCAGAGAGGTGATTCGTGTCGACATTTCTTTTCCTTTTTTTGAGTGTGTGAGAAAGATGATTCCAATGAGGCTGATTAATTACAAAGGACCGATTGCCTTTCCTTTTGTTTTTCTTAAACCTTAGCAATTCATATTTGGGCACTGAACTCTAAGAAAGAAGCAAATGGTTGAGGAGAAGTTTTGACAATAATGCTTCTATAATTCATTTTCATTAACTTGCCATTCAGATTCAGCATACCCAACCGTCTCATGCTCTTTTATTTATTCTCACCAACATTACCCGCAAATACGAATTGCTCTCCACGCCTCTGTATTCATTCCGTTGCCTTGCCTTTGCATCTGCTACTACTGCTTGTTTCTAGCAGATAACACACCATGGAATCAACGTCGTCCCCGAATATGCTACACGCTTCAATCGCCTGCAGATAACTGAATCCCATCGACAACAGTAATTGTATCCCACTGCTCAGAACTGTATCCTGCTCCACTTTGGTTTCACTTCCTGATGCACCCCCTGTCCACAAACACACATTTCACCAGGTTATGGTTTGGGTTAGGGTTCATATTCATCCACCACACCATAACACTAGATTAGATTCTAAGATATTTACAACACGTACCATCTCCAGATGATGATGGTTCCGCAGTGGAAGCAGATAACTCTTTATGGCCCACATGCATCTTAAACTTGTCATTCGCAAGGTACTCAGCTCGAGAAGCTTCCATAACCATTCGCTCGATTTCCTTCTCAGTAAGCTCAAGATCGGAGTAGAACCGCCCCTCAGCTAGGAGTGCCTGTTGCCATGCAGTTTATAACATAAAGAAAACTTATGTTAATATCATCCTACACACGTGATGAAAGAAAAAACTAATTCCAAATTGTCAAAAATACTTGCATTATCAAACTGTTGATCTTGTTGAGCTTTAATAGCAGCCTTCACTTGATCCTTGTCCACATTAGTCTGCAAAGCCACACAGCATCAGTAACGCATATGACATATACACTTTGGTATTCAAGTTGACAAAAATTTCCCATCAAAGCCTAACATACAAATTCAGTTTCATAACATGAGATATTAGAAAGTAGGAAAATACAAGAAGGAAATGTATACACACCCCTTGAAGACATCTAAATCCGAGCCCAGCGCCAATTGTCAAACGACGTGGGTCAACAAGTGAATTGTAATGATTCCCATGATGGTAACTAAGCCTTATGGGAGGTGTGTCGGTATTATAGCTTCCATGAAATATGTTGATAGGTTCTGCACCAAATAAGTTTTTGCCCATTGAAGGTAAGAAGATGGAGAAGACGAAGCAAACTAAAACAACATCAAAAACATCCATCACGAACATCACCTATGCTGTAGGAGTAGATATGAATAGGTCTGTTATACATCTCTGATAAGGCTTGAATCTCCACATTGTTCCCATAGACCTATATTTTGAGATAGAGGAAACAGATGCTTTAAAACCATAATTGGGAATCAAGAAACTAATTCAGGTGGAGACGCATGCATGGTTAATAGTTTCAAATTTGATTAATTATAGTGCATGCAATCTTGGCTATGAAATAGAACAAAAGGTTAAAAAGTAAAAGAAAAAATAGATATTTTGATCATCTTTATCAACATAACAGAATATGAGTAATAACCCACACACGGAATAGATATATAGATACGATACTAAAACAACTTTTACATAAGAACATTAAGATAGTATAAACAATTACAATGTCTCTGAATACCTTATCTCGTCTTTTCCTCTTACAATAAGATGTAAAGCCTTCGGTTATAAACTGAGAAAAGTGATTCCTTTCTTTCTCCTGGACGAACAGATAGAGGTAAGCATACATCCCAAAAATATTCCAAATCATGCCATTCAAGCACCATAAATACACATTAAAAGAAATGACGAAAACATTTATTCCTTTGAACCAAATTAAAAAAATTGAAGTGATCCAAAACAACCCTATACCATTAAGAAAGTTATAACAAAAACAGTGCATATGTTTAACAACATCAAAATATTTAATCTATAGCTTATATTTATGACGGATGATAAATATTACCAAACATATAAAGAGAAGTTTCATGGACTCCTAATAACACTATAATTATATTACAGAATTCACGGCTCTGTACTTTGATATTTCTAAAATTTACTAGAGTAAAACTGGAATGAAACCTCAACTCTCTCCATATTTTTTCTTGGATTTTCTCCTTATTTGACACACGGGAAATATAAGGCCAAATATCTCCTTATCATGAAGTTAAATAAACTATAACGCCATGCGAGTAAATGCATTAGAAGAAAACTCCAACTCTCTAATCAAGAAACAGCTAGCACCAAGTCATATGTTCTTTTCTTTTTCTCGGAATAATTCATGGCTTTTCTGTTTCTAAGGAAACTTCCACAAACCGTTTCATCTGGTTAGAATTTAACATGTGTCGTAAGGAGTCCATTTAGCACCTGCAAAACAGCTTATAGTGCCTAAATTTCAAAAAGAGGATTCAAGTATGAGATATTCATACCATATAGTCAATGCACATTTGTCGAGGCAAATCATAAGCTTCAGAGTCCCCATACACTTGATCAGCAACAGCCCGGAAGAGGCAGTTCCCATCTTCCAACATCCGTTTGACTTCTAAACCTTTTGCTCGTCTAATATCAAGTTCAAATTGTCTTTCCCTTTCCTGGACCAGACGCAACAAACCATTACAAAGTCAATTTGATTTCAAAAACGAAACAGCAAGATTAACCATTAACTTCGATCATACTTTGTCAGCGAGAACATTAAATCTACAGAACATTCTTAAACGTAAGAAAACAACATAAAATTCATTGGATAGAAATGGATAAAAGCATACCAATTAAAGTGATCTATCGTAGTCATTCCCAGAAGAGAGAAAGAAAGAAAGGTACAATGGCGTAATATGATTATATTTTTGCGTGCCGATCTTATTAAGCTTTCCATACTAATGATTTTTCACCATAAAAGTGAAGTATGAAACACAAAGGATTCGATCATCCAGAACAAGAAACTTACGGCATCACTATAGGAGGATACAAAGCATGGGCTTTGCTCATCAGCGCTATTGTAACCGTCACTCTCAACGTGTGATCGAGGAGAAGAAGGCCTTGACTCAGATGGGGATGTCCTCGTTGAAACAATGGGCCAGGCAACAGCTCTTCTAGATAATCCAGTGTGAACAAGAATTGAGCTTCCTGAGACAAATCTTCTTAAATGTGAATTTGCTGATGAAGGTTTAGGTGGTGGAATGGGAGGTGGTGGAGGATGGGGACACCCACTGCCAATTAGTGAGGGGTCACTACTTGAACCTCCAGATTCAGCAGCAACTTTTTCAGAAACCCTCAACCCATCTGAATCATTCATCATGTCCCATGAACCCAAGGCATCAGGCGTGTTCACTTTCTCAGCCTCAGCAATTGTGTCACTTGACGTTTCATTCCGATTATTATGCAAATTTTCTAGCAAAGGATCATCTTTCAAACCCTTATTTCCAATACTCCTCGAACACTCTAAATGCTCATCTGAAGTAACTTGTTCCAGCACTTCCTTACTAACCTCCCCATCTTTTGCAACTGAAGGAACTTGATGAGTAGAAACTTGTGATTCCACTCGAAAAGAAGATGGTCCAGGCAAGGAAGAAGAACGGCTCGGATTTGAAGAAGAGCTTCCAGCAGAACCTCGTTGAACCAAAATGCGGGTCATTGCTATCGATTATTACTATTCTCAATGAGATACTCTATCCCTAATTATTCCCTTCAAAACCCCTAAAATTTAGAGATCCAAAACCCTAATCATAGGTTTGTCCCGAGTTCTTGCCTTGGACACGGTAATGCCAATCCCTTGGCTGAACGATTTCTTCCAGCCTAGCACGTTCACTTCATCACGAAACAATCTCTGCATTCCCCTGACAAGTCTCATGAGACCCAGACCTAGAACTTTAAACAATAAAATCCTCATATTACTTGAAATTTTATACCCAGAAAAATTCCCAAAAATTTCACCTTCACTATTCCAAGGTGCAACCAACAACCATCCAAAATTTACAAGAAAAAAAATCAACCAAAAACAGAACTTTATCTGCCGAGAACCATGTTTGATTTCCAAGAAAAGGTAGGAAGCTTTATCACATAATTAAAGTAAAAAAAAGGGGGGGTTCACTAAAAGGGAATTAATTAACTGACTTGACTTCTCGCTCAAACCAAAATGTTCTCCAAACTAAAATACTCGAAAGCTTCTCTTATCTTTAATTTTCCTGTCATTTCTTAGCAACCAATCAAACAAGCAAAAGGTAACAACATAATAATATAAATTCCAAAACAAGGGCAAAAATCCCAAACCCCAAAAGAAGGAATTCCGAACCAACGATCAAGAAAGACACAGAAACCAACACCCAATAATAACTTTAAAAAGAGAAGAAATAAACTAAAACTTGGGCTCGACAAGAATTAAAAGGAGAAGAAAAACTCACCTGCAAAGAAAGGAGGAGAGGAACTTTAGAGACCCGGTAGGGATATGCAATATATGAGATGGATATATATATTTCTCTGTCAGGGTTTTTGAAGAGAAAAGGCAAAGCCAAAAAAAGAAGAAAACTTGAAGGCAAAGGAGAGTATATAGAGAGAGAGACACAAATAAAATGAAAGTGTTGAATTTTTTTGTTGCTTTATAGAGAGAAATATAAGAAAAAAAATTCAAAAGATAAAACAGAAAATGGAGGCAGAGGCATGCTTTATAATAGTAACAGACAAACGGTGGAGGGTCGAAACACCACCGTTGGGAAAGTTATGACGTGGACAACGTGCTGGCTCGTAGCCGAGAAGACGACACGTGGCGAGTTGGCTGAGGTAGTGTTGGCGGAACACGTGTGAGATTGATGAAGATGGCGCGTGGTAAGTAATGGTTTGGTATTTTAGTTTCGAGAAAATAACCTCAATGACCGAAAATTCCTTATAATATACGATTTTGACCAACTTTTTTTTTGATTTGCCAAAATGATAAACAAAATCGCAATACGATCTCTAAATCGCAACGCGATCTCCAGTATCGCAAATCAGTTTCTAGATTCGCAACGCGATAATACATAATCGCAACGCGATTCTGACTATCGCAACGCGATAATACAAAATCGCAATGCGGTTTTCAAAGCGCCATTAGTATCGCAACGCGTATTTTATTTTCAAATTCCAAACACGAATATTAATATACACAATAATAAATAAACGAATCTACAAAATAACTGGGCGCATGCAAGTAATAAACGAACGAATCTACAAAATTATATACACAAGAAATATAATCATTTAAATGTGAAATGCATGTAACTAACAAAAATGAGTCAACAAAATTATATTGATTTACTAACCGCAGCACCAATGGCGATAAACAGCAACTCAAAGCGTCTATCTCTATCTGTTTTGATATAAGTTACCGACCCATGATTTTTCAGCTTTAAATTGTGACAATAAGCCGGCAGTTGGGCAAACGATATACCCTAATCTTAAGAATAATCAACCAAAAAACCGATAGATATAACATTTGTTTCTCCAAGCTTGAGAATATGAAATACTAATCTTGAACCGAGCATTCATGTCAGTCATAATTTTATGTCCCCGATATACCCTGCCATTCAAAAACATTAACTCAGCCAGAAAACAACCCAACACCTTTTTGTTTGCCTGTCTACGGTGAGGAAAAACTTGGGTTCTTGAACATGTATGTTTATCAATAAAAGTCTTAACTTGAAACATTTCGCAATCTTTTATCCTCTTTGCAATCATACGCCACGTACAGTTTTTGTCAATCATACACCTTGTTTCGAAACGATCTTTGTTTGATTTGTTAACTTTTAGTTGATAGACATCTTCCACATATTTCGTATACAAAGCTATCTTCAAGTCTCCCTTTGTATCAAAACAATCATCTTTCTTGATACGAATAATTTTTGTGTAACAATCAACTGCTATATTTACCAACACTTCTTCCGGTATCTGAAGTAATTCTGGCATATTCCAGTTATACTCCCGTGGCATTTTCTTTGGGGACTTTTCTTCGGGGATTTCTTCTTCTTTTTCTTCTTCTTCAGGGTTATATAAATTATAGAATGGATGTTCAACATGTTCATTCACAGTCGTAACTTCCTCCTCATTATCATCAACAACATCTTCCTCAGCAACGGCTGTTTCATCATAAAAATTCGGGTATTGACCAATATCAAAATCAATACACGCATGGTCTGTTTCTTCTTCTGAAACATCATCAAAATCCGAGTATTGACCAAGATCAAAGTCTAGGTATTGACCAAGATCAAATTTCGAATACTGACTAGTACTCACAATTTTTTCTGTTGGCTCATCATCGTCTAACTGGTCAATACGAAAGCCGGAATTTGGTGCTGAAAGTTGATTGGGATTTGGATTAGGGAAAGGTTGTGGGTTTTGAGATTGTGTTTGGTATTGGAAATATGGTGAAACAAAATTTTATTGGTGATGAAATTGTGGTGGAACCATTAAATTTTGAGCACCATAAACTGGGGTTGAAAAACTTAGTTGATTACCACCCGCTACTGACCCAACTTCACTATTTCTAGGTTCAACAACATACAATGTAACATCATCTTGCGAAACACTAATGTAAGCAATGAATCGTTCAACATCTTCATTGTCGGTTAACAAATAAACTTTACCTTTTCTCTGATAAGATAGCCTAAATCCACTTAAGGGATTTAAATTCAATTTATTTGCAACACGTAACATTAGAGTTTTATAAGTTAACTTTTTTAATGACAGTTTTAGTTGAAGATTCATGGTTAAAGGCATATATTGTAAAAAACCATGAACATTCTCCCATGACCCTCCAAAACACAAATCTATCCAAACATGATCAACATTAGATGATTTCATTATTGTAAATTAATTTACTAAACAAACGAGCTGCGAAACTAAAATATGTTGCCGGATGGGGAATGATGTCGTTGGATACATGAACGGATATCGCCGGAGAGAGTGATAGATGGAGATGGAATGATTTGCGATTTAGGGATTTAGGTTATGAGTTGCTGCTGCTGTGTAGTTATATACCCAAAACATTTGTGTTGTGAAACTAAAACCTGTTGCGAATTTGAAATTCAGCGTTGCGACAGTCAGAATCGAGTTGCGATTATGTATTATCGCGTTGCGATAGTCAGAATCGCGTTGCGAATCTGGAAACTGATTTGCGATACTGGAGATCACGTTGCGATTTAGGGATCGCATTGCGATTTTGTTGGTCATTTTGGCAAATCGAAAAAAAGTTGGTCAAAATCGTATATTATAAGAAATTTTCGGTCACTGAGATTATTTTCTCTTTAGTTTCTGTGCCACAAAATTTTCTCACTGAATTCTTTCCATTCCCGGTGGGAAAATCTCATTAGGAACTTAATATAGGCAATTTTCCCAATAAATCACTGGTGATCGGTATATTTACTGATCTAACACCGGTCAGATTATATTTCCCGATCTAATACCCGTAGCAGTAAAGCGCGCCCCCTGAACGCGCTATACGCTGATTTGGCACCAAGTGGGTATAACGTGCCCCCTGATCCGCGCTATACTTGCGTATCTGACACGTGGGGTATAACGCGGTGTAGGGGGCGCGCTATACCCCTAAATACCCGGCCCCTTACATCCCAATTCTCCCTATAAATACCCCCATCCTCAATCATTTTTATCACACCAAATTCTCTCAAATTCTCTAAATTTCTCTCAAATACTCTCTATTTTATCCCAATCCTCGAGACCGACAGCCATCGCCCTGCGGAACACATTCGCGACGCAGGCATCGATAGATTTTTTTTATTATATTTGTATTTACTTTATTTTGTTTAATTGTAATTTTTTATTATTTCTCATTTAATACTTACTTTATTTTGTTAAATTTGTTGGACTTTTTTTAATATATTTCAATTAATTTTGTTTATTAACATTTAATATCAGTTATTGTAATTTGGTTATCATTTACCATTTAATTCTTATTGTAAGTTTGTTGTATTTAAATACCAAATTGTTATTAGTTTGATACAATTTAATGATTGTGTTCGTGTTTTTAATATTCATCAGCGATTATCGAATGACATTAACTTGAAGTAAATGCAAATTAAAATACAATAATTATTATGTGATAAACAAATACATCATTTCCTCATCAATTGTTACTTGATGACAACAGAAGTGGACATGTTTTTCTAGTGTGTCCTGGGTTTCTACAATGGCCACATCTTCTGTCTTGTCTAGATCTTTCTCGAATATCCATATCGCAATGAATTCGATTGGATTTTGGACAACCACGCTCCCTCAATAAACTCGGATTTGGTACAATCGTAAGCCAGTCTTAAACCTCATCAGGGTCTTTGTCATTACCTATGGGGGAAAACTCAAATTCTTATACCTTAAAAACTTCAGATAGTAGGTATACGGGATCCACAAAATGGTTATAGACTTGATGTGTATGCGAGCAAGCTGCTATCACATGAGAGCATGGATACTCCAGAGCTTGAAAAAACCCGCAGTCGCACGTTCTATCCCTTAGATTTACTCTTAACGACACAGCTTCAATCCCTTGAAGAGGTCGCGACAACTCTGTGACACGAAACATTTCATGCCTTTTAGAGAAGCTTGTTACAGACATTCCATTTGATGCAACAATTTTTTTCTATAGATCTGCAACTAATCTAGGGTGATAGACATGACCGCCTTGCATACAGGTTTGAGTTTGTCCCCCGAGCTTCGCAAAAAGCGCCCCCAAACAAAAATATATAGTTTTTACCAAAGCCGCTATAGGTAAGTGGCGTGCACCCTTTAAGGTTGAATTGATTGCCTCAGCCAAGTTGGTCGTCATGTGTCCATATCGATATCCACCATCATATGCGTTCGTCCACATTTCTTTATCGATGAGACTGATGTAATCGTATCCTTCCTCGTTCTTCGCCTGCAAATCTTGAAGAATTGATTCAAGCGTTCGAGGAAGTAGTTCGTAACCTGATCAAAAAATGTATAACTTACTAACTTGTTTTCTTTGCAAAATTAAAATGATAAAAAATGTATAACTTACTAACTTGTTTTTACTTACCCATGCGCACAATTAATTGACGCTCATCATTCTTCTTGTACCTTCCATGATAGTTCGCAACAATGTGTCGGAGACAATACCTATGTTGGACAAAGGGTGGTTGCCACATTGAACCCAAAGACTCCATTGCTGCTTTGATCCCAGCTCCGCGATCTAAAATAACACAAATTTTTTCCCTCGTTATAACATGTGCATATAAATTTCGGAGGAAAAAAGCCCAAGAATATGTATCTTCTCCTTCGACAAGAGCAAAAGCAACTGGAAGAATGTTGCGATTGCCATCTTGAACAACTGCCAATAATAAAACTTGCTTGTATTTTCCATATAAGAAAGTCCCGTCGATCTGGACCAAAGGCTTGCAATATTTTGCAGCATTAACGCACTGTGGGTAACTCTAAAAAACCTGGTAGAATTTGCATCGATCGCGAAGAACTCGATCATTATGGTATGCATAGGAGGTTTCGAAGTCCACAATTATCCTAGGATTCAACGTCCGCACCAGCCTAAACCAACCTGGAAGTTCGTTGTAAGATGCATCCCATTTGCCATGAAGTTTGACAATGGCATTTTGTTTTGCCAACCAAGCTTTTTTATAGGAGATAGTGCACCCATACTGCGATTGTATAGCTGAAATCAACACTGCAACAACTATATGAGAGCTTGCTTTTACCATGGGCATGATGGCTTGGCATATCACTTCAGAGTCCAAGTTGGGATGATCTTGGTTGACCCCTCCAGCACAACATGTGTGAGGACCGTTATATACTGTTAGTTCCCATATGTTGTTTTTCCTCTTCATTTTAGATACGCGAACCATCCAATTGCAACCGTTTTCGCGTCGGACACAATAACATACATATTTTTCGGTCGTCGATCGGTTGACTCTGGACTGAACAGAATTACGGATATTGTAATTTTTGATAGCCATCATCGTTTCTTCTTTGCTTGAAAACTCCATGCCTAAAGATAACTCACCATTATTTATTGATGAGTAATATCCATAGTCTCCGAGATGAGGCATATCCGCAAATTCTGGCCCGTGCATTGCACCATAATCAGCTTCATACATGTGTGCAAGAGGGTCAGTTTGTGCCACATTTCCTGGAACTTCATCATCATCGGAGTTGAATTGCGGTGATTCTGGGTGAATGAATAGTCCAGTCTCAACACCAGGCTCACGAAGCGGTTCTTCTGGTGGAGATGATGGTTCCTCCATGCTCTTCACATTTAGGTTGAAAAACCTACTACTTGCACGCCTTCCCCTTGAACTGGAAGGCATATCGACATTGAGATCGAAAAAGCTCGCAGTCAAATGCCTCCCCCTGGAGCTTGAAGCCATCGTGTCAAATGGAAACTGCATAGATGATTGCGTCGATGGCATCTCCATATGGTCAAAGAAATTTGCAGATGAATGCCTTCCCCTTGAACTGTACGCGGTGTTGCCATACGGATTGTTCTTGGACCCACCTCGGTACATATCGTAAGGAGTTGTGGATGAATGTCTCCCCATTATGGCATTAAAATCATTACACATTACTGTAGTTGGGCTGTCAACTTGATCAACTTGTTCAGCCAGCCCATAGTGTGAGCTTAAAGATTGACCCCGAACAGCACACAATTGAACAAAATATGCATACATCTCAATAGTGGCATCTGAATAATTACTTTGAGCTTCAACCATAATTTGATCATCATCATTGTTCGAAAGTTCGAACGCTGTATAAGTTAATGGCAACAATGATGTTGGAAATCTGTACTGCAACGATGACATTCTTCTATTACTTCCAACATGAATCTTCCTCGAAATCTTCGTTATCAGCTCCTCAAGAGTTATGTTTCTCTTTAATGATATTTTAACACGCTCATTTGATACGAAAACAATGTCGGTTTCATCTTCTCGAATTTCACCATCATAATAAACAATAGCTGAAAGTCGCGCAATTCTTTGAGTTTAAAAGTGCGGCAATATTATATCTGTAAAAAATAACTTAAACAAACCTGATTAAATAAATTATATATAAACGAAAATATAACACAATTTTTTTTTACACATCAACGTAAATAATTTAAATAATATAATTTTATATTATTACATGCACCGCAAAACTATTTCGACGTATGCTCCTGCTTTTTAATTGTATAAACATAAAAATTAATTGAAAATAATTAGTATAATATTTTTTCAAACAATAATAATAACAATAAGTATAATTAAAAAATTATAACAAAATTACCTTATAATGAAAAATCGCACGAACTTCTAAATCAAATATAAGAAGATTGCCAGAATTATTATTCGTCGACGGAATTGTTGTATTAATTTATAAGAGAGGAGAGATGCAGGAGATGTGAGGAGAGATGCGGTATTTATAAACATATAAAGCGCGGTACCGGCACCGCGTTATATGTAATTATTATATAGCGCGGATCAGGGACCGCGCTAAATATAATTTTGGTACGGCGTATAGCGCGACCCCTGATTCACGCTACGTGTAACCCAGTCAGCGTATAGCGCGGTACAGGGGACACGCTATACTCCACGTGGCGCCAAATCATCATATAGCGCGGTTCAGGGGGCGCGCTTTACTGCTACGGGTGTTAGATCAGGAAATATAATCTGACCGGTGTTAGATCAATAAATATACCGATCATTGGTAATTTTTGGGGAAAATCTCCCTTAATATACAGATAAAAAAATATGTTATCGATTTTATTATTATTTTTTTAATAAAATCGGTAAAAAATTATCAAAAATATTATTATTTTTACCGGTTTTTTTATTATTAGGCATTTTAACGTTTTATTAACATATCCGGTAAAACGCTATCGATTTTGTTATTTTTCTTACAATTTTATTATTATTGGGCACTTTATCAGAAATGCTAAAATTTTTTTTAATATATTAGGTAATTTTTACCTGTTTTATTAAATAAATAATAACAAAACCAGTAATATATTTATTTAGTCATATATTAAGATTAATGTAAGGTAGAACTTCTCATTCCCGATGTATTAAAGGGGCTATTTTGTTTAGTCATTCTATTATTGAAAAGGATTAATGTCCAAATAAGTGATCAAAGTTTATTGTTTGTGCCAAATAAGTGTCTAACCTTTTTTGGGCCACCTGGATGCCTAACGTTATCATCGTTAGTATTTTAGGTGCCACACGTAACAACCGTTATATATTCATTTGTTGACACATGTCCCTGATTAATTTTTTTCATTTTCTATAAATTTTGAATAAATTAAAATTAAAATAACTAAAACATTAATAATAATATTTTAATCCTACTAATTTAACCTAAAAGTAAAAATAAAAATTTTACCACGGTCCATCCTCTTCCTCCCCCACTCTGTTGAAACTCTCCTCCTTCGCCAATCTCTTCTGAAACTCTTATCCTCTCATTTCACTCTCATCCTCATCTATTTTTTTTTCTGAATCGCTTATCCTATCCATTCACTCTTATCCTAGTCTTTTTATCTTGAAACTAGAGTTTTGGAATTGTGTGAACTGTTTATCTTCAAAATAGTGAAAGATGTTGAGTGAATCTTCAAAATCGAGTCATAGTTTAAGGGTCGAGTATTGTTATTGTGGAATAAGGGCTCCTATTTATAGTTCAAATATGCCTTATAGCAAAGGAGGAAGATTTCACGGTGGTTCACAATTGAAAGAAGTATTTTTTTGAACTGCTAAATGAGCGCTTAAGAGTATAAAACAATATCTAATAATGAGCTATTGGATCTGCTGGAAATTCAATATATTTAGTTTGATTTTTACATTTAATTAAACTAATTGGTCGTTGTTTCTAAAATAAGTTGTTGGTGTTTGAATATATTTTGAATGTTCTAATTAGATTATTTGAATTTTGACACGTAATTAGATTATTAGATAGTAGGGAAGATGTAAAATCTTGTATGAATGTAGCAGTTGTTTGATAGCTCCTATTGTGAGGTCGAGAAAGTAGAACCTGACTTGGTCTTTCAGTCTGTTAGAGAAAAAAATATTAAAAATTAATGTCAAAAGCATATTTAATGTAGTAAACAAAACAACTCACATTTAGAATTTAAAGACCGATTCGTTCATTTGTATACATGCCAAAACCTTGCATAATTGTTCTCCCTCTTGGCCTACCCAATCCATATTCAGGATTTACTGTTTGATCGCCTTCAGTTTCAATCTTTCAACAATATAACAAAAAAAAATAAGAGTCACTATTTTAATGAATCTTTAATATATTAATAACTTAAAAAAAAATTATCAATAACATAACACTTTGAACTTACATTGGATTGGTTTTTATTTGGACAACTTATATTATGTCCCTTAAGGCCACATACATTGCAACTCATCATAAATCCTTGTTTTCTCCATTTTGTTTCACTGCAAACTTCACTGTCTTCTCTCTTCCTTTTTTGTTTGTCTTCTAGGTTAAATCTCTCTCTTCAATGCTCGGTCTGTGCAGCCCATTCCAGTGTCTTTCCAAAACCTTGAATTTGGTATAGTGAGCACGATAACACTATATAAATCATTGTACACATGTTTCTTGTATAAATGACATATATAGTCTTCAACCCTTTTATCCCGAAAAAATATGACACATATAGCATGGGAACAGGGAATTCCAGTTAAGTTTTATACCCTACAAGTGTATTTGCAGCCTATAGGGTCAACCAAAATGTATCTTCTTTACATATTACCTCATACCTTTCAGCCCCATTCCAAATTACATGACAATATGCAGTACTACGTTTATACAATTCAATTTTTGTTTTAATTCTAGAGCACAACTTACCAATCCAGCTATTTGATTTTTTTATGCTCAACTAGCCTATGCATGATATAATGCCTAATATCTTCAAACATTGATATAACATATTTAAATCTAGCACCTATAATTGCATAATTAAATGCTTCAGAGAGATTGTTATCTATTGTATCACATTTGGATCTAGTAGAAAAGAAACCTTAAGACCATTGTTTTGGGTCCTCTACCATAAGATCATACAATGCTTTCTTCTTTAACTCACCAATTCGTGAAGCATTTGTATGAAAGTTACTTTCAGTAGTAGCCTTGCAATATTTTCAAAACAGCAACTGTAGGTCACCACATTTATGTACTTTCTTCCAATTAGCATACATGTCTTTTACATAATCTATGTTCCACATTTGGCAACATCACCTAAACTTCTTCAATAAAAAAACAGGTTGAATTGGTGAATATTGATAATGATAAGAAAATAGTTTGAATTAATGAATATTGATAATAATAAAAAACAGTTTGAATCGAAGTGATTAAAATATCATTACCTTCTGCATATCACTAATCAAAGTGAATTGGGTGTCATCTCCCAAGTTCAAATCAGTCTGAATAAGTTTCAAAAACAAACCCCAAGTATCTCTACTTTCACCTTAACCAATGCCCAAGCTATAGGAAACATTTGATTATTCCCATCTCTACCCACAAAAGATAAGATTTCATCTTTGATTTTCCCTTTCAAGAAGTATCCATCAGAGCAAATTACAGGTCTGCAAAACTTTTTAAAGCCTTTATGCATAGCACTAAAACATGCATAAAATCTCCTAAAAATTGGTTTACAAGCTTTAATGGGCCTCTCTACCATTAGCTCAAATGTTTCATTCGGATCATCACTTCTCAATGCAAACACATAATCAAACAGCCTATTGAACTCCTCTACAACACTACCCGTTCTTTTCCAAAGCCCATTTCATAGCCTTCAAGCAACATCTCTTGTTTATTCAACTTTTAACTCCTCTCTAGCAAGTTTTCGCATCTCTAGCACCTTCATTTGCGGAAAAATCCTAAGCTTGTTTAAAAAGTATTTTCCAACCAACTTAAAATTTGCCCTTTTGTTCTTAAAAGTGGTTGAACATTTGTGCTCACTAACAAAAGTCTTGATCTTCAAACAACCATCGGATTTATCCCAGGAAGCATGAATCACAAATGGGCAACCTTTTATCTTACAAACAACCCTTATTTTCTCTTTTCTATTTGAAACAAACCTAAAATCAAAACTATGTGATATTTCATACTTATAAAGGGCATATTTCAATTGCTCTCAGGATTTAAAATCATTCCTAGTTGAAATATGGGTTTATCGATTGAAGGATCAAAAACACCTTACCAGTCTTTTTGGAAACTGTTTGGCTATCTGAGTCCGTCTCATAGCTACCAATATCAGAAGATTTTGGATAATCAGTATCCTTTCCCTGTCCTAACCCATCTGAATTGGCTTCATTTCCCTCTAATACAAGCTCAGATCCGATGTCTTCTTCAGTGACAGACTTATCTTTGATTTTCTTTGTAACTAGCCTAAATTGATCTTTAATTGCAGCTATCTCCTCATCATCATCATCAGACAGTAAATGTCCTCCATCTAACCGTTCAATTTCACTATTATCCCATCAGTAACATTTAATTCATCATAAATGATCTCGTCATCCCCTTCATAAGGCCCACTTTTAGCATTAGGCCCACAACCAACAATATCTTTTGGATGTCCCAAAGTCGTTTTCTATAATAATAAAAAAAACAAAAGCATAACAACACTGCTTTAGTAATTAACAGAATCAAGAACAACATAACAATACACCCCCAAACTGACAGTGAAATAGTTTACTTAATAATAAATAAACTTACAGTAAAATAGTTTACTTAATAACAATACATAACCATGAAATAGTTTACTATGTAAACCTATTTGCATAACACCATGAAATAGTTTACTGTCAGAATGTTAGAATCAAATTTAGACATAACCACATACTTTTTTTCTACTGTTATGACCAATATCTTATTATCAGGTCACAATATTTAATTAAAATCACATACTTTTCCTACAACTTTAAATAAAACCACATGCTTTTTATAGTGTTATAACCAATGTCTTATCTCATTTTAACCAATGTCTTATCTGCAAAACAACTTAAATATAAAAAAAAAGACATAAAAAGAAGTAGTTTACCAGCAAATATCTTGGCAACAGCATCACAATGCTTCCACTTTATGTGTGGACTCCCACAAACCTATCAACGCCAAAGGCCAAAGCATTATATTCCAACGTGGGTTAAAAACAAACAACTCAAGCAGTGTAAGTTTGACATTTTCTCTGAAAAATACTGGCTCAAATATTCGTCCTTTTGTACTATTAGGCTTTCGTCTTTTGCAAACTAAATCATGGGGGTTTGATTTAAAAATGTGGGTTTTCAATTTCATATGTAACCCTAAATCCCAAATAGTTCTAGGGTTTTCAATTTTTGAAGTAACCCTAAAACCCAAATCTATTTAAGGTATGTTAAAAACAGAATGAAGTCAATCAGAGAAGATTAGGATACTTACCATAAAGGAAAATCGAGAACAATAATTGAAGAGAAGGATTTCAAGAAGAACAAAGGAAAAACGAAGAGTTTCAGAAGAGATTTGTGAAGGAGGAGAGTTTCAGCAGGGTAGGTGAGGAAGAGAACGGGGGAGGATGGGTCGTGGTAAAATTTTAACATTTACTTTTAGGTTAAATTAGTAGGATTAAAATATTATTATTAATATTTTATTTATTTTTATTTTAATATATTCGAAAATTACAGAAAACGAAAAAAATTAATCAGGACACATGTCAACAATGAATGGATCAATATTTTATTTAACGGTTATTACGTCCCGAACACCTAAAATACTAATGTTGATAACGTTAGACATCCGGATGATCTAAAAAATGTAGGCATTTATTTGACACAAACGGTGAATTTTGGGCACTTATTTGGGCATTAAGCCTATTAAAAATATAAAATAATTTTTTAAATTATAGAGTGTTATTTTGTTAAGTCTCTAATTGTTAATATTTATAAAATAATCATTTAACTATTTATGTAATAATCGAAAGATTTAACTAAGTAATTCCCTATACTTGAGAGATCATTTTATAACTTTTAATAGTCGGTGACTTAACAAAACAAGATCTTATAATCAATGACCATTTTGTATAGTTTACCCTTTATAATAACATGCAATTAATATGTACAAATGAAAAACTAGAGAAAATAAGACAGACAAAAAATAAGAAATGAAAAAAAAAACAAAAATAACATATACGAGAGAGGAGAAAAAGAACGAAAATAAAAGGGAAATGAAAAGAGTTTAGGAAGAGAAAAAGAAGAAAAAAAATTGAGCAATGGAAAGATGACTAACAAAATGAATAAGAAATGAGGGTGTGAAACTCTAACATATATAAAAGCATATTCGTCAATATATTGAAATTTGATTTAAAAATTTTAGGTCAGTCAAGATTTTTTACTCTAAATCAAATTCATTCTGATCCAATTTTTTCTTTAATAAAATTAGTTGTAAACTCAAATTTTAAAACAAAATTGATCTTATATAATCATATCGAATTAAAATCTATTAAATTCGAATATTTTCATTATCCTTGATTATAGTATTTAATCTTATCACCACAATAACTAATTTTATCGTTTAAAGCTAACCTCATCACCCATCTAAATGACCCATTAGACTTAATTAGACATTCAAGCTTAATTATTAATGCTCACAGTCCAGTAGAAATTAATTTGGAATACTAATTTAATAATAATTAGACTCACAATTTATTCAAGTAAAGTATTAAAATATTTAAATACAGTTTAGGAGTAAAATTCCGTTAGGAGACAAATATTAAAATATTGAAAAGATAATTAGACTCACAATAACTAAAACATGTGGTTAAAAATTCTCAGATGATATCTTTCCTCTCCTTATGATGTGGTTTTAAAATCAGGAGCAAAATTTTTCCATTCCCCTGCTTTAAGTGGGAATTGTACATAAAAAAAATTCAACCCCTATAGCTTGAACTCAACGATAATAAAGACATTATTGCAATATATCAAGATGACACCCATGTGCAGGACCGACATGATTTTATGTTGACGAGAGTTAATTATAAAGGTTTTACGAGGAACGAACTTATAAAATTTTAGAAGATGAAAATATTTATCAATAGAAAATGTCTAAAATATATGAGAATTTGAAATTTTAAGAGGGAAAAGATGACTGCCCCACCCGCCCTCTCTTTGATCCATCACTGCCCCTATATTACCATAAGCAAAACCAGCATGAAGCTCAAACATTTCCTGGTCGACCGCAACATCTCAGAAAAATATTGACCAAATCAACAGATAATGCAATAAGAACACTGTTCCATAGGCAAAAGCAAAAACAGAAAATGACACAATGAAGACAAATGAACAATATAAGGGAGGGATGTTGGCATGAAGTGTCGTCAAATTTTATTTCATCACCTCTGTTTTTCAGGTGTGTAAATCAAACAATCTTCAAAAAAAAAAAAAAAAGGTAAATTTATGCTTGCCCTCCTCTTCATGCTTTACAATCCGCTCTAAATGGCTAACACTTTCGTTCTACACGTAAAGCAATTGAAAATCCCAGACGGAGAAGAATGAATTTGAAGGTGGTACTTATATATGCTACTCAACAAACCAAAATTTCAAGGCTTCACAAGTTTCAAAAATAGGGAAATCAACCATGTTTACAACACCACCTCTTAACACCTTCATTATGGTCTAACCCTCCACCCACGCTCCGCAAGTGCTTCATGCACCTGACTTGCTGCTTCTGCTGTGTCGTTGAGAGGAGGATAGCTCCAACTTTCTGCAATCTTAAGACATCCAAGGAAATAGTTCATAATTAATCCCAAATGACTTTCATTACTCAATATACTCCAGTTATAATGGTGGGAAAAAAATGGAAAATAGGTTGGGAATTAGGTTCAGCCCAGTTCGGTGGTCATGTGGAAATATAACTTTATCAAGTCTTACTAGACACTGTAGATCGGTAACGGGATCAAATAAATGGAAATGAAAAAGATGCCATTGAATATTTACTTACATATTCAGAACCTGTAAATGGCCTAACCACTCCTCGCTCCCTCAAAGATTTATGGAAGTCTGATAGTTTCCATTTACAACGCTCAGACCCCAATACATACACAGGTTTCCTGCAAGGAACCAAAAGTGAATGATAACTCTGTATTCACTGAATATAATGTACAGTCCAAAGGGTTCAACGTGTTCTAAAATATCAGTAAATAAATATCATACCCAGTACTGCAAGCCTCACTTATCAGACTCACTGAATCTGCTGTGACGACAAAAGCATCCGCCCAAGCTAAATGCCCCATATGTGGATTCGGTTCTGAAGATAATCATATAGAAACTCGTTGAAGATGATCCACATTTTACTTGCTAATTACATTTAATCAATTGAACATACCTTGACCATCCCAGATGTAAACTTTTGGATTATCAGCAAGTTCTTTCACAATGACTTTTGATACCTGTAGAGCCATAATGAAGGTGAAAACTACATAATCTTAAACCATTACAGGAGAACGTAAGACAAATTAAGAGTGCATTGTCATTTATTAAAACCTTTTCAGGTGTCCTACTGGAGAAAGATATTCGAACAGTCCCACAGCTTGAAAGGATACTGAGAAGATAAGCAGTTAACTGCTTTGCAAGATCTGCACCATATCGACAGTGACCTGCAAAGCAATTCAGACGGCAGACAAAATATACATATTAATAACTAGGCATAAGGTTAAAATAAAAAGTGAGTTAACAATGAAAAAGAATCATCATTCTAGTTTCTAAAAAAAAAAATTCAGATAGTTGATGGAAATCAAGAGAAAAGGAGGCCATGCTCCAAATCATTTTTGTCTTTCTCAAGATCATAAAACAAATCCTATGTCCTAATCCTAGTTCATGGAGTTAGTTATACATGTATACAAAAGAAAAAAAAATAATAGAAAAAATGAGGATAAAAAGACCATGTTCGAATATTATTTGTGAATTCAACCTTAAAGACAAAATATCCCTACCTAACCCAGATCAAGATCAGTCTATATAATATGCATCAGATATAATTGGACAAATCCATTGTCCATATCCATAAGAGAAAATAGAAGCTCCAAGTGTAGTGGCAACAGCTCAAACATCAATAATGAAGAGCAAATTCTAGTGGGATATAAAAACATCAGTAATCAGTCTCAAAGCGCAATGAAAAATTACTTGTAGGCCAGCCGATGTTAACAACCAGTAAGGGTTTTGGAAGTGGTGCAAACTCATCATGCCACACAGCAGCTGTGCTGCGGAGTGTAGCAGAATCAATTTGATGTAGAGCCCAAAGTGAGTATCTGATGTAAAAAGTTGAAAATAAACCTATCTTTAGCAGTAGACAGAAACAAACAATTTAAGCAAAGATAGGGTTCCCCCAATACTAAGAAAATAAAATTTCATAATATAGACTGACAATACATACCACATGCCTATCAGGAGGTTCACGAGGAGTAATCCACCTGTGAAGAAACTGAGGAACCCGCTCTTGTCCTTGAGGACTTAAAGGATAGAAGTCATGACGAGGGGTGATCACCAAATCAAATCTATTCAATTGTGACCTAGGATGTTGTATCTGCATTGTAAGGGAATTGAGAAGGGGATAAAACTGATAGTTAGACATGCAACCGAATAATGTTATCATACTTTGGAAACATGGCTGATGAATTAACAACATGCAACAAAAAATCTGACTTTCTTTAGGCGATAAGATAAAAAAAACTAAGGATGTTACAAGAACAAGAAGAGGGCATGATATATAGTAGATACTACATACATACAGGATTAACAGAGAACTTGCAAATAAAAACTTAAAATGTGCCTTTTCAACAAATAAACATAAGGCAGAAGTTTCTAAAGCACTACTATTCTTTTCAATAATACAATTTTCAAACTTCATTATTTCTAGTAAACTCATTCTAAGTTCAACCTATAATGCCTAGGAGGGTATGATTAAGAATGATACATATATTTATAACCAAATAACGGAGTAGGAGGAAACTTTTTTTCCTTTTTATTGGGCATAATCATGAAACGAATATAAAGGTGGTGTACAAGATTATAAGGAACGGAAGTTGAAACAAAGCTAAGGCCCATTCCAAACCTGAACTACAAAAACATTCTCCGAGGCCAAACATCTTATAGAACTTGCAATTGAAATGGTGTCTCTTCCGGATGCAACAACCAACAAAGGACCATCCCTGGAAAAATTTTCAAACAATTCATAATTCCCACAATAAATAATCAACATTCAACACAAAGGCACCAGATTTTAATGTATTTTTTTAAAATGGATTCAAATTTACTATCATGAAAGTGTGAATTAGGTTCCAAACATTCCTCCAAAACATAAGAAGTACTTTTCATTCCATATAAGCATTTTCATTAACTGAATGGTGAAAAAGAAAGTACTTTTCATAATTCTGGCGCGCCATGTTTATGATCTGCCTAACATCAGCTTCTAAAACAGATGCCAAGCCAACACTTCCATCACCATTTTCTAGAGGTAAAAGCGCATCGCGAGTAAATTTGAATCAACCGGACGAGATAATCCAACTTTTTGTGAAGAGAAAGAAAAACATAAAAATATATTCCTTAGGAAAATGTTACAATTATTTTTTAAGTCATTTTTTTTAACTTTGATCATAATTATTTTATTAATCATAATTATTTAAAATTACTGTTTTTATATATTTTTGTCAATAATAGATTCAATGGCAAAATCAAAAAGAAAATTCATTCATTTATTAACTAGATAATGATAATTATTTGTAATTAATTATTAAATTTGATATCGTTAATAATTGTATCATCATCATAGATGAAAATTAAAGGGTAAACTGCATGTTTAGTATCCCAACTATCATTTTTATTATGTTTTGATCACATAACTATTTTTTGTTTTAAAATTATACTTAACGTTACATTTTGGTTTCATTTTGGTCACCTATTGTTAAAAAATTAATGGTAATGTTGATGTGTCATCATAAGATAATGCCACATCATCATTGGTAAAAATTAAAATAATATCATGTCAGTAGTTCTGTAAAATTTTTAACGGTAGATAATCAAAATAAAATCAAAACGTAAAATTAAATATAATTTTAAAAAAAATATTAATAATAGTAAGTGATCAAAAGGAATAAAAGTGATAGTTTAGATAATAAAAATATTGTTTGCCCAAAATTAAATTACCATTAGAGGAACCAAACGAGAGGGATCTAAATGACTTTATATACATACATATGGAGACGATAACTACAATTTAAACACTCGGAATCAAATCATAAACACTTCAAAAAGAAAAAGAAAAAAAGAACAGTGCAAATCTTTTCCCTTTCTTTTATTTTCTCCATCAAATCTTTTGACAATTTTTGTTGTTGACAGCTGCCCACTTCTCGAAAAAACTCTTTCTTTCTGCAAAATCCCGAAGAAGAAGAAGAAGCATAAGAAGAATCTTTGATTGATTTGTCACTTTCTTTGCTTTTCTTTGATGAATTTTAGGCAACAAGTTTGGGAGGAGCTTACCTAAAAAGAAAAGATGGCTAATCTTTAATAGCTTTTCTTCCTCTTGAGATATTTCGTTTTTTTAAAAAAAAACTTTCCATTCCTTGAAACAATAAAAAAGATCTTCGATTTTTTCCTGAGATCTTGAATGAGATCTGGAATACATCAAAATTTCGAAATTGGGTCATCGAGATTCTTGTGAAAATAAATATATAAAACCTACAATGTCATGGCAACAACACCATGGTAAGATAAGAAAACGAGGTAGTTCATCGTCTTCTTCTTCTTCTTCATCACTGATCCGAGACTACATATTCAAGCGTGCAGTTTTGGTGGCGAAAAAAGCAGGATCGACTACCCCTGTTCCTTCATGGATAACAGCTACAACGAAACCAGAGATTGTTACACAAACCAGAGAAGCCCCAGTTTCTGCTAGAAAATTAGCTGCCACTTTGTGGGAGATTAATACAATTCCTTCCCCAGAAGCTAAGCAAGTATTGGAGAAGAAAGATAAGAGGAGAAAAGCCCCCAGAGTTTCAAAAATGCTTCATGTTTTGCCGCAAAATTTGTCTGATCCGTCTAATAGTCCTTTTATAGAGGTGGGGATTTTAGTTATTTCAATGCTTTGAATCAGTTTGAAGCTATGGGAAACATTTCTTGTGAAAATCTCATTATTTTTTTTTCGTTTCGGTTGTTTATCCGTTGAATTTCATAGAAAATGGATCGAGGCAGAGTCAAATCTCACAGGAAAAGATCTTCAATTGTTTCTCAAAAGCTTCATGTTACTGACCGTACTTTCATAGAGGTGATAAAGAAAATTTATCAAATTCTTCGGGTTTTCCATTTCATTATCTGCAAATCTTGGCAATGCATGTTATATTGTTGTTTTCTACAAAAAATGGTTCTCTCTTTCCAGGTTTTTCTGATGGGGAAATTTCATATTTTTAGAATTGTTTTGAGAATTTACTGCAAAAAACTTGGGGTTGAATCTTTATTTTACAGAAATATAGGAAACATATGTTCATGCTGATTTTATGCCATGAATGCAGATTGATGAAGCTCATTCTAGAGTCAAAATTCATGGTGGATGCATAATTGGGATTAAAACTCGTTTAAAGGATGTCAGTAATTGCTTAGCCACTTCTAAAGAACTCGTTAAAGTTTTGAATCGAGTTTGTGGTCTAGACGATAAACATTCGTTGAGCATGTCATTAGTCTCTGTATTATATGTTGAACTCGATCGAGCTGGAATCCATGTTGATCAATTGATTCGAGAGCAACGATCAAATTACGATGGAATCGAGCATCTCATGCGGCATTTTGCCGAAGAAAAGGCCACTTGGAAGAGGAACGAGCGCGAGAGAATCCGTGATGCCGTAGCGTGCATTGCCGAAGAGCTCGAGGTGGAGAAGAAACTCAGGAGGCAAACTGAGAGATTGAACAAGAAGCTCGGGAAAGAATTGGCTGATACGGCGGCATCACTGTCCGAGGCGATGAAAGAGCTCGAAAGTGAGAAGAGAGCAAAAGAGATTTTGGAGCAAGTCTGTGATGAATTGGCTCGAGGTATCGGAGAAGATCGAGCTACGGTCGAAGAACTGAAACGGGAGTCGGCTAAAGTGCAAGAAGAAATGGAGAAGGAAAGGGAAATGCTTCAATTCGCCGATGTATTACGAGAGGAGCGAGTCCAGATGAAGCTCTCCGAAGCTAAATATCATTTCGAGGAGAAGAATGCAGTAGTCGAAATATTGAGGAATGAACTTGAGACCTACCTAGGAACCAAACTAAACGAAGAGAATGTCGACGGTTCACTGAATCTGCAGAGGATCAAAGAGCTTGAAGCTTATTTGAAGACGATCGATTTCGGTTCCGGCCAAATGATCAAGAAAGTTGCGGATAAAGTCGATGTTATGGACGGAGAAGAGTGCGAAGCAGATGACTCAACTGATGGCGATCTACGCTCCATTGAATTAAACATGGACAACAATGACATGTGCTACAAATGGAGTTATGCTGGAGGAAATTTACCCGAAGGCGGATCAAAGAAGTTTCCGATCGAAAAGGACAATAAGGGGAGGAAATCGCTTTCTGAGATGAAGTATCTTGCATCGCAAGGTGAGGCACATGATTACGAAGATGAGATAAAGAGATATAGATCTGTAAAGAGCCTTCGAGATCACATATTATCAAGTAACAAAATAGCTCCTATCCAAAGCTTTCCGAGTCCGACTCGGCAATGGAGCCAGTCCATGCACTTCGAGGAGGCCGGTGCCGGGGCTAGCTCCCTGGTGACGAAGGCGGATGGTTGGAAACCTAAGCTTGTTGGCTCAATAAGTGAAGGCCGTACTTCAGCAAGATAAGAGGGAAGAAACTTGTTATTTATTTATTTGTTTCTTTTTGTTTTCGCTTTCTTGAGTAATGCTATGTTGCATTTTCATGAATTCAAAGGCTGTAAAATAAAGTTATGAATTGCTATAATTTATTAATACAATTGAAGATCTTGAAATTCTTTCAAATTCTTTTATTTTTTATAAAAGTAGCGTTTGTTCAAATATTTTTTAGCTTACTAACTGTGTATACATACTTTCAGATATAGTTACTCGAATTAATTTTTTTTTTTAAATAATATTTATTTTATTATTGAATTTATTCATAATAAATTAAAATTATAACACTTTATCACCTATTATATTGTATTGGATTCTCAATTTTCACATAATTGGTCAAATTATGACAACCAAATCCTAACAATGATGACCGACCACAACTCAATTATGCAGTATAATGAAGAGTTCAAAGGCAGGAAAAGAGGGATGTTTGAGACATGTATGAAATTAAAAATTAATAAAAGAATATTCTATTTTTTATTTCTAAATTATTTCCAACATGTTACTTGGTATCATATGGTATTTGATTTATTACAATATTATAAAGTCACCATCCTCCATGTGACATTATGTAGAATGGAAATTCTCTAAGAAAAAACAAAACAAAACAAACAGTTGACAAAACTCCAAACACATCACATGGGCTTGTAATTTGTATGATTAACTAACAACAGCACTTATCTTTGGTTCTCTACTCCAGGTCCCCAAGGGTCTTCTTGTTTTCAGTCTCATCTTTAATTGTTTCACCAATGAGAGAATTTGATACACACACACTCCCATCATCTAACTCATATTGAATGGTTTGTTTTTCTTTTGTCTAAAATGTTATACATTTTTTTTTGTAAATCTTACATGAATCAAAATTATGATGGACTAATTGCTTATGAGTAATTTAATTTAATTTAATTATTCATATAAGGTGCAGTATAAATTATTTTTTAATTATGTTTTTTTTTTACAGTTCACGATGGAAGTTGTCAGGACTACACGACGATTTCTGAAAGTTGTCAGGACTACACTATTATTTTTACTTAAAATCTTGTTCTCTCGCATTGCTCGTATAAGGAAGTCACCCAAAAGTCTGAATGTCTTCATGACATTGCCTAACATTTCAATCGACTTCTCCTAACATTATAGATATTACCTTATTTGAAAAAATAAAATTCTAAGAGAATTAAATGAGCAATTCTTTTTCCTAGGTGCATAGTTTAATAATTAATAAAATGATTTCATAAAGTAAATGGATTTTAATTAAAAAATATTGAATAAAAAAAGATAACAAAAGTAAATAGTGTAACCCCTAAACTCGTATGAGCTCAAAGTGCTACATTGGACTGTTGACAACCACTATAATTTAAAACATTTTTCATTTTCATTTAAAATACGACATGTTTACCTAAAATAGTCATCCAATACAGTTATAAAAATACTTTAATAAATCAGAGCTCTGTGACTTATAGTTTAAATCAAAATAATACAAATTCAGAGTTTCAAATCCGAATACAATAATAAAGGCCTTATGAATACACATGCACACTAAAGTTACAGTACAACACTCAGTAAGGAATGTTGAAAGTCCTGCTGAGAGAGTGCTCATCGAACAATTCAAGCTACTAACGAACGAAAAAATCCGAACGTTGAGCTTACAAAGTTTAGTAGTATAATCGTTAATATAGAACAATATTATGAATCTCATATACATAAGCAAGCTAGAAGACATTACACTAAACTGTAAATACATGCATATTCATAATCATGTACTATATACTTAAGGTTCAACAATTTTATCCCTATAATATGGGTCTCATGTTTCCCTTAGTCTTCTGCAAAGGGCATCGTCATGAGTATACATATACTGGGTCTCTAACTACAATATCATATAACAATGCATCGTCATATGAGATACACAATCATCACACACACAATGATAGTACCCAGTATCACAATAGTCATCAAATACCTATCACATGTAGGGGAATCCGATGTCATATAAGTCCCAGTAAAATTTTCACCAATCATGCAAATAATCTTTTGGTTGTCACATAGTCTTCAGGTAAATCATGGAGGAAAACTCGATTATCAAATGATCTTGGCATAATTCCTGCTCAAACATAGCAGTGATTCGATATCACAATAGCAATAAAGGAAGTATTATGAATATTCATCAATTAACATCAATGCGATCATACATGAATACAAAAGTGTTCATAGGTCACTTACATCAATCAATATTACATAAAGACATACAAGGTAACTCTGCTACTTACTATTTTAATTCATTACATTCGGATGAGATCATTCCTTCAGTTATTATTATTTCGCTCGTTCTGTCATAATTTTTTTTTGGAGTTATTGATGGAAACAATGATAAATGGATGTTTACTCATATTAAAATAGAAATGAATTTGCTTTTGGAATGAGAGAAACAATGATAAATGGATGTTTACTCATATAAAAATAGAAATGAGTTTGCTTTTGGAAGGAGAGAATGGTTATCGTTGTATAACCATGGGAGGAAACAAAAGTTTGAAACTAGTGGGAAAATTCATATTTAAAAACTCCCAAGTTTGACCCTTTTACAATTTGATACTTTTTATAAATACTTTTTAGGGTAAAATATGTATTTAGCCATCCAACTATTACTTTGATTCTATTTTGATCATCCAACTATTTTTTTTCAAAATTATAGCTAAAATTATGTTTTGGTTCTATTTTGGTCACCCATCATTAAAAAATTAACAGTGATGTTGATGTGTCACCATAAGGTAATGCCTAGGGATGGGTATGGGATTTGAATCCGACGGGTTCCGACCTGACCCGATTGGATTGGGTTGGGTATTTTGAAAAAAAATCAGGTTTGAATCGGGTCGGGTTTAGGGTGAAGAAGACCCAACCCGAGAAAAAATATATAATTCTACCCTTATATTTAGGAACAATTGCAATAATGCCTCTCTATATATTATTTTTTTCAATTAAATCCCTATTTTTATTGAATAACAATAATATTTTTAATAAATATATTATTTTGGGTTGGGTTGGGTTTGGGTCAGGTGGAGGGTATATATTTTTTTTGTCGAGTCGATCGAAAATCCGACCCTACCCAATCCATGTCCATCCCTAATAATGTCACATCATCATTGAAAAAAACTTCACATAAACAATTCTAATTATTTTTAACGGCGGTTGACCAAAATATAACAAAAATAAAATTATATATGATTTAAAAAACTCTTAAATAGACTTTTTGATGAAATATATACTTATTATTTAATGAAAAGACGTTGTGAATTATATAGATGAGATGTGCCTATTTATATACTTATAAAATTTTTGAAGATAGTAAAACCCTGGAAACATGTTTGAACTCAACTAAGAAAGTAATATAAAATGTCTATTAATGTACTTAAATCAATTAATAAAATAAAAATTAATTTTATATTTACATTGTCTTTGCTAAAATTAACGTATCTTGAGTTTCTAATATTAAATTGAAGCGGTTCAAAATATGTAAAAATATAACTAAGAATTGATTAATTCATAAGAATATATGATTCCAAAAAGTCATCGGAAATCAACTTATGTTATACCTTTAAAAATAACTTTAATTTTCATCTAAAATGATTTCCCCCCTTCCCATACACGTATCAACGGGACAATTTGATCAAACACCCTAAATTTAAGACATCAATTTGACCTAAAGAAAAATAAAAGGGTTAAATTAACTGTAGTTTTCCAATTTAAGGATTACTTTGATCGAAACAAAATTTATAACAATCTGACAAAAATTATCAAATACTAGATGATTTATATTTTAAATCTTAAAAATAATGAATTCATTTAATGAACTTAGTGATCGCTTAAAGGAAGCGTTGTTTATACTAAAGGTTTTGAGTTCGAAAAATTATGTTTGTAGTGTATACGTATTGTCAATTATTAAGAAATATTTTGAACAAATATTATATTGTAATTTTCTCGTACTATTAAAAATAGGGTAACATACACAAATGGTCCCTGACTATAGGGTAATGCTTTATTTAGTCCATCGACTATTGAAAGTTGTAAAATGATACTCTGACTATAAAACAATGCTTTGTTTAGTTCATTGACTGTAAAAAGTTACAAAATGGTTATATGACAATTCATTTGTTTTAAACTCGTCATTTTTCGTTAAAAATTTGGTGGTTGTCTGAGTTGGACGTTAACATGCTTATTAGGATACAATAAAATTTGATCGCACAACTTTTGAGTTGTATTTTGTCGATTGAGTCTCTATTTAGATAATGGCGTTGAGTCAATGCTTGAAATATTATACCGTCGAGCCAGTTCTTGAAAGCAACGATGGTGCCAGTAGACATCATTAAAATATAATTTTATCATATCCAATCAACATATTAATATCAAACTCAACAACCATTAATTTTTTAATGGAAAAATACACGTTTGAAACATATGAATAGTCGGATGACTATTTTGTAACTTTTAATAGTCAATGGACTCAACAAAACAATGTTTTATAGTCAAATGCTCATTTTATAACTTTCAATAGTTGAAGGACTCAACAAAATAATACCTTATAGTCAAGGATCGTTTGTGTACTTTACCCTAAATTTTTTTTAAAAAAATACTAGTAGTAACAGTGAATATGTCCCGTCATTCAATAATGAAATCGAACCGAAATGGATTTATGTCATTTTGACCGAAACGGCTGGAGAGAAGCCAAAACGGTTGGCCACTTCACTACTTAACATGTACCAATAACTTGGACTTGGAAGAGATATTTCAGCCTTTTTATCATTATTTTAAGGGTAAACCACACGCTTAGTAAATTATTTTTATTTTGTTTTGGTATTTAAAGTTTATTTTGTTTTAAAATTATATCTGTCAATATACTTTTTCGTCCAGGTACAACATTCTCAACAACTCCGATTTAGTGGGATTCAGAAAATAAACATAACGTTAGAGTTTTATTATGATTCAAACTCCTAAAAATAGGATAGAATTTTACTATGATTCAAATTCCTAAAAATAAAATAGAGTTTTACTAAGATTTAAACACCTAAAAATAAGATCCATAAGCATTATAAATAGCCATTGTAACTCACTATTGTAACACATAATTTATAGACGAA